AAAAAATGCCATAAAAAGTCATAGTATAGTATGTCATAAAAAATGCCAAAAAAAGTCATAATATAGTATGTCATAAAAATGACATAAAAAGACATAATATAGTATGTCATAAAAATGACATAAAAAGTCATCGTATAGTATGTCATAAAAATGCCATAAAAGGTTATAGTATAGTATGACGTTGAAAATGCCATAAAAAGTCATAGTATAGTATGTCATAAAAATGCCATAAAAAGTCATAGTATAGTATGTCGTAAAAAATGCCATAAAAAGTCATAGTATAGTATGTCATAAAAATGCCAACAAAAAGTCATAGTATAGTATGTCGTAAAAAATGCCATAAAAAGTCATAGTATAGTATGTCGTAAAAAAATGCCATAAAAAGTCATAGTATAGTATGTCGTAAAAATGCCATAAAAAGTCATAGTATAGTATGTCACTTACCATTTCTCCCATTTCTCTCACTATTGCTCCTGTTGAGTCCAAATGCTGTTGGTTGACAGTTCCATGTCATGTATTTCGTTCACAATTTTCAGCTGTTCATCTTGTATTGTTGGTTCTGCTTTATACCATCTCTTGGTGGTGGCATTTTACAGGCTGCCAACAAAATTTTCAGTAGATATCTGTCTCTTACCACAGTTTCTCCTGCCATATTGCCTAGCATGAATACCATGCATCATCTAGGTACATCATAACACAAAATTCTAATGATAACCATATGAACAGAGACAGAGGACAGAGATAACTCAAAACATAACTCCTGGATCCTAACCCTGGTTGAACACTTGACGAAGGTCCTGTGGGACCAAGATGTAAGTGTTCCTAATAAATTGTGAAGCTGAGCAAGAGCAGTGTGCAAGATTTTCTCATCAAAGACCCTTTAATTTTCTCTAAAACTGTACAGTACAATATATATATATATCCTTTATTAAACCAGGTAAAAGCCTAATTGAGATTAAAAATCTTTTTTCAAGAGTGACCTGGCCAAGAGGGCAGCATTAAACATTGTTACAAGTTACAACAAGGATAAACAGGATAAACAGACATATACAAGTGTCACCCAACAAATGAACAAAAAACACAATATACAATTAACATGAAATACAAGGTCCAGAACAAGAACAAATATGATATGAGTACAAAATAACTTTATATTTGACATGGTCATAGTCAGGTTCACCCTGAACAAGATTACATTGAAATTATCAGCAAACCCCTGAAAGAAAACATTTAAAATTTAAAATATTTTAAATGTTTGACCTGACTTTTCCAGTGCAGCAATATACAGTGAAACTACTTTTGACCATAGTCTGGAACATTTTGAGCAGAAATCCATTGTGCTTCTCAGCAAATGTATTATGGGAGCAGTTTAAAATCTCATTAAGACTTCTTTGGTGTGTTTTATGCTTGTTTATTTCACTCAGAAAGGGACAGTGCACATTAATGAACATGATCACTTAAGTCACGTAAATGTGACAGATTTAGCCATACAGGCTAAATTTCATCTACAGTCCCTGGCAGGTTAATGGTACATTAAAAATACATTAAAATAGCACAGAAGCACAGATAATTTATAACGTTACTCATTCAGCAAGACCACTCCAAGTACCGGTACCGTAATAGCATGAATATAAGTACATCAGAATACAGTGGTGGCTGGCTTGTTCAGTGTTTTTTAGTGCTGCTGCTGTGCTGTGATGCTCTGTCTTGTCTGTCCGTGTTCTGTCACTGTCTTCTTCTCACACTCTTTCACTGCGTGAGAAAACAGACGTGTTGCATGAGAGTGTGTGAAAAGTGTCAACTGCATCAGTCTCTTGGTCAGTGCCTGACAGATAAATTATGTGAACAGCTCAAATTTTAAGTGCAGTGTTAAGCATATGCGTGAGTCTTTGAGCCCTGATACAAGTAAAGAACAGAAGTTGTAATGTTAAACAAGTGAAAGACTCTGATACTATATAGAAAGTAGAAAGGCCTCATATCTATCCATCCATCCTGCAGTCTGCTGCTGTCACCCCAGACAACTTGACTGTCAGATGCACGTCTCCTGTCTTTGCCTCTCCGCTTTGAAGTCTCTGCATGTGTTTGTCTGGGGTTGTTGTGCGCTGTTCATCCCTCACCGCTGTGTGTCTTCTCTCTGTGTCCAAGTCTGGCAGCATGATCCAGAATTGACAGCTGTCTGTTAACAAACAAAGCTGGTGAAATTCAGTACATATTAGTAGTCTTGTTCATGCACCTACAAAATGTGATCCACCCTCTCACAGTGGTCGTACGTCAGGCTTTTGTTGCAGCTCTGTAAAAGTGCAGCTGTGAGTGTCATGAATCAGGGCCAGAGGAGACTCAAGACCAAAACTGTCCATCTTGTGACAGTTGACGTGAATAATTAGTTTTAGCATCAATGGTGTGATGTGTGAGCCGTGAGAGGGCGTGAAGCAACTTTTTTTTTTTTTGTCTGTGGTGGTGATGCTAACAGGAAACATGGTTTTCATTCTAAGTGAGTTCACGTTTATGCTGTTATCTTTAGCTCATGCAGAATGCCGCAGCCAGTGTGCCAAAAAACACACAAGTACAGAAGCAGAGAACGGCCATGCTTGCGATAATCTTTTTCTAATGCGGATATCTCAAGATGACAAGTTAATTAGTTTGTCAGATATCAAAGCTTGTTTTCTTGTGATAAAAGGATAATTTATGTCTATTCTGGGGAAAATAAAAGACAGATTTCTCCAGATAATGATATTTTACAACAAGAAAACTACTTTTGTTTTCCCAAGATGAGTTTTATTAGATCACACCTGATTTCTGCCGTCTTCCAGCCAGTCTTCTCCTAAAATGACGAGTACTGATCTAACAGAAGGACACAGCACAATATCTGTCTGTGTGAGACCTTTATTGAAGGGCGGTCTGATGTGTTGATCAGTAACAGGTACCCTCCTGCTTGATCTGACATTTCCAGTGCTACAGTTGTCAAGACGCCATCTATGCATGTTTGCATGGCACTACTGATCTCTAGTAAAGATTATACCTGATAAGAGGAAATGACCTTTTGTTTTCTCGTGATAAGGATTGATTATCTTGTTATCTTGAGATAACAGCTTATTTTCTTAAGATAACAAACTAATTAACTCTTGATCTTGATAACAGAGTCATAATGATCAATCAAAAATCAATCGCACATGACTTTTGTGCATTAGCGTCCATTTTATTTTGGCATTAATTTTATGTATTAAAGAGCTAAGTCTAATCGTGATTATTTGATTTTGAGAAGTTTTAAAAAGATTTTCTTTTGCCTTTATTTGGTAGTGACACTGCAGCAGGAAACACAGGCAGAGAGAGACGGGTAAAGCACACAAGAGTCTTTAAACCAGGGGCGTTTGAGTTACATGTTTGTCTCTTAAACGTCCAGTGTGTAGGATTTTTGGGCATCTGTTGGCAGACACATGTTTTCATTTGTTTGTCACCTGAAACTAAGAATGTTGTGTTTTGTAACCTCAGAATGACTCGTTTATATCTACATACAGAGCGGGTCCTCTTCCACAGAGTCCGCCATGTTATTTCTACAGTAGCACAGAACAGACAAATAGAATGCTGGCTCTAGATAGGGCCAGTCGCATATTTGCATCAGCCATCGTAGCTCTCCTACACGCAGTTTCAGTGTTGCAACATAGATGCCACTAAATCTTACATGCTCTACCTTTAACAACAAGTTCACCAGGATACAAATGCCAGGATGAGTCAACATTTAATTCTCAATTGTGTTTACAGGTTCAGTGAGCATGTATGCTTAACCATCCCTCTCTCCCCATTTTTCATTTCAGGACTTCCTGATCATGTTCATCCATCACCTGGCGACAGTCGGCCTGGTCAGCTTTTCTTACGTCAACAACATGGCACGAGTTGGGAGCCTCGTGATGTGTGTACACGATGCCTCTGACTTCCTGCTGGAGGTCAGTCAGACACAATAGTCACTGTGATGACACACCAAAATTTGATGATTAAACTGTTTTGAAATTGCAGTTACAATTCAGTTTTATTTATAAAGCCCAATATCAAAAATCACAATTTGCCTCAGAGGGCTTTACAGCATACGACAGTCCTCATACTAAATACTTTATTTACAGCTTCTCTGACAGCGTAAAATAAAGGTTCATCTGATTAAATGGCCACTTACTGTGTGATGTAATGACAATGTGAGTGACATCGGACAGAAGTTATCGCTAATATTCTGATACTACACTGCTGTTGATAAAGTAACTGTGAGGCCTCGGCTTTCATATTCACATACAGCTCTGTTCAGTCGCCTTTATGCTTCACATCGGTCGGTTTCTCAAACAATGAAGAATTGTGATTGTTGTTTAATGTTTCCAGTCACTTCCTTTTGGCTGAGATCCAAATAGATTACTGGTATGAGCTGAGGAATTAAATAAGGTTAATGGGCTGAAAAAAATGATACTCTACATTGAACTTATCATTAACTATGACTTCTGTTATTTTCTTTTCCTACAGGCAGCCAAGCTGGCCAACTACGCTAAATACCAGCGCCTGTGTGACTTCCTCTTCATTGTGTTTAGTGTGGCATTCTTCATCACACGACTAGTTATATATCCAGTATGGTGAGTTCTCTGTAACACTTAAATACTATGCAATATTATGCATGTATGACTTTAGCTCATTTAATATCTGTGTTTTTGCAGTAAATAATAATCTAGCTTTAGCGTTGAAGGTGCTGGAGCTCAAGCTGGAAAATGTGAATCTGTCTCTGAGCTTTTTTTGCATGCACAGAAAAACATTCTGATCCTCCAGTGCTTTGTTTTCTTAAATTACTGTAATTTCAGTTCATATCCTGTAGCTTTGAATAGCAACACTGGTCAGGAGCACACAACCTGTACTCCTAAAAACATCATGAAAACCACCATGCTCTGTTGTTTAGAAGTAGCTATAAGGTGATGCAACTACCACCAGTTTATAAATAAGAAGAGGCAGTTTCCAAGACGCCTGACAGCTTCATCATCATTTACTTCTTGCCCAGGGCTCTGCAGAGATGGGGGCTAATGTTTAGGTTTAAGGGGGCTGTTTAGATAGCGACTGTTCCTCGACAGAGACCTGGATGTTGAAGCTCAACCTCCAGAGAGACAGACAAAAGAGAAGCTATCATTGATGAAAGTAACCTGAGCGCCTATATTCAGTGTCTTGGTGTGGATGAGTGATAAAGCTAGTGTTGCCGGTGCAGCTACCTGGACTGAAATCCATACCTCTGCTGGGGGAGGTGGGTCTGTTGACAACCTCCTGTCACTCAGCTGGATTTAAAGGAAGACATGACCTCACCAACCACTCACCTAACATTGCAGTCGAGCTCTGTTACTCGCCTGCTTGGTTGCCATTGGCATCCAAATGGGAAGTGCAATCGGTACTCTTATAATAGGCCTCGTTAGAAGAGTGCAGGGTAATGATATGATTAAAGTACAGCTTGACTGCCTTCACCAGCTCTGTGGCCAAGAGAAAATGTTGGCATTATGCTTGTCTGCAAACCACAGATACGTTACATTTTTATGTTTCATATGTATCATATTAACGTTTCTAAAGTGACGTAGTATATGAGCTGACTTTGTCACCATGCTTTGGAGGGGATGATGAATGGTGTGACATCTAGGCAACACGCCTGCCAAGCTGCAGACCACTGTTAGAGACCAACAAACAACAAAACTCACTGTGTTTTCAGCAGCTTTTAGCCACCAAACATGGCAGTTTTTAAGCAACTTATTGCTCTATTTCCCCCAGGAATAGTGTCATTAAAAGCGTTTGTTTTTAATGAGGCATTTCTGAGTTACCTGCCAGGATAGTGCCATGAAAAGTGGGTGTTCGTTACAGAGACATTGCTGAGTTTCCTGTTGGGACAGTGCCATGAAAAGCAGTCATTTTTCATTGAGACAATGCTGTGTTTATAGCCGGGACAGTGCCATGAAAAAAAGTTTTTACCTAGATATGGTTGCGTTTCCTGCTGGGATAGTGCCATAAAAAGTGGTTGCTCTTTACCGAGACATCACTGCACTTCCTGCCGGGATAGTGCCATAAAAAGTGGTTGCTCTTTACCGAGACATCACTGCACTTCCTGCCGGGATAGTGCCATAGAAAGTGGTTGCTCTTTACCGAGACATCACTGCACTTCCTGCCGGGATAGTGCCATATAAAGTGGTTGCTCTTTACCGAGACATTACTGCACTTCCTGCTGGGATAGTGCCGTGAAAAGCGATTGTTATTTACCAAGTAATGCTGTGTTTCTAGCCAGGATAGTGCTATGAAAAGCTAGGATAGTACCCCAAAAAGCGGCTGTTTTTTACTGAGTTATTGCTGCCTTTCTAGCTGAGATAGTGTCACAAAAAGCGGGTTTGTACCTAGACATGGCTAGTCTCGCCACTAGACAATCAGAGATCTCCTTGACCGGCTCAGTGGCCTTGTGGTAGACTGTGCACCCTGAGACTGGGAGGTCGTGGGTTCGATCCCCGGCCGGGTCATACCAAAGACTATAAAAATGGGACCCATTGCCTCCCTGCTTGGCACTCAGCATCAGGGGTTGGAATTGGGGGGTTAGATCACCCATGATTCCCGAGCGCGGCACCGCTGCTGCTCACCGCTCCCTCAGGGGATGGGTCAAATGCGGAGAACAAATTTCACACATTCAGGTGTGTGACAATCAGTGGAACTTTACCTTTACCTTTACCTATCTCCGCAAAGCCTCTAAAGACTGACTTGTGAGCCTAAGACATGGCTGCATTTCCTGCTGGGATAGCACCATGAAAAAGCATCACTGAGTTTCCTGCCCAGGACAGTGCCACAGAAAGCAGGTTTTCACCTAGATATGGCTGCATTTCCTGCCAGGATAGTGCCCCAAAAAGTAGGTGCCTTTTACTGAGACACTGTTGCGTTTACAGCAGGGATTGTGCCACCAAAACAGGGTATTTTAAGGCCAAAATGTGATCGTTTCTAACCATAACCAAGTCTTTTTTGCAACTTACCACACATAAATCACAGCCAGTGTTGTTGAAACATACAGTGTCAACATATTCGCTAAGTAACAAAAATGGATGTTGTGGCTTCTAAGTAAGTTCAAAATAGCCGCCCACAGACACCGTAAGTGTAGACTTGATCATGTCTACACTTATGGTGTCTGTGGGCGGCTACATCATAAGTGTAGACATGATCAGTTGATCATGTCTACACTTATGGTGTCTGTGGGCGGCTGTCTTTGGTTTGTACGCACTGGTTGATGATCCAGGGTGCTTCAGATGGTTGGTTTGACGGATGTATGGAGAGTTGCTGGGTGAAGCTATAAACTGATTGTCTGTCATGTCAAAACCAAATCCAAAATAAAGAGGCCTTTCCAAAAAAAAAAAAAAAAAAAAAGTTCAAATCAACAGGGTAATTTACACATTCATTTAACAATAAATTAGGATTAAAACAAACAGACAGCAGTTGAAGACTGTATCTCTGTGGCGTCTTTAATTTCAGCACACCATCCTTTAGTAAGACGTTCTTGAGATGACAAGTCTTCTTCTTGTGTTGCAGGGTCCTGAACTCCACTATGTTTGAGAGCTGGGCCATAGTTGGGCCATTCCCGTCCTGGTGGCTCTTTAACTTCTTGCTGCTGGTCCTCCAAGTGCTGCATATCATCTGGTTCTACCTCATAGCCCGTATAGCTGTCAAAGCCATGCTGCGGGGCAAGGTGGGTCACCGCACAAACACATTACCGACAAGTATTGTAGTGTAGAGCTGAAACAATAAGTCAATTTAAATACTTAGTTGATTGTCCAAAAATCTATCTCAACTATCGGTATAAAATATTGTGATAGTTTTGTAAAGGAAGAACAAAAATTCACAACGACAGCCTCTAAAATATGAATTTTTTTCTAATTAATATATTTGGATTTTAGAGTTCTGGTCAAACATTACAAGACATTTAAAGATTTTCTCCTGTGCTTTCAGAAATTTTAATGGGTACCTGACATTTTATCAAGCAAATGATTATTTTCTTTATCTTTTTGTTTTAGGAACTAAGCAGCAGATGAGTCAATACTGAAAATCATTAGTCGCAGCCTTTCTCTAATAACCCGCTGAAGGGTTTGACATCTTAAACATCCAAAAGTTTGTTTCTCAGCTACTAGAACATACAAACATCTTTTGACCCATTTATTTTTGTGGTACAGACACCTGTTGGTTTCACTTCTGTGCAGTGTAATTTCATGAGTTTAAGTGCAGCTAAAACTCACCAAAGTGGTCAAATTAAAAAAACAACACTTGATTCTTGTGTCAGCAAAGATTAACAAAAATGTAACACGATTGACCCTAAAATATTGACTCAAGAAGGCTTTAATGAACATCAAATAAATATCAGTCCCAACCAGACATCTGTCTATGACCAGCATGTTTACTGAAACACAACATCACGGCTATTTTTGGTGATGCATTTGCTGCCTCTTCACTTTTTTCTCCCAGCTGTCCCTGACTCTGTCTCATTCTCTCTGCAGACGGCGTTTGTTTCCTCTCCCTCTGGATTGAGAGAGGGAGATCCTGTCTTTCTGTCTGTCTTTGTCCAGTGAGCCCTTCTCCAATAGTCTCTCGCTTCCTCTCCGTTTGCTTTGTCCACTTGAGACTTTCACCTTCTCTGTTTCTGGCTGTAAGTTTCTGTCGACTCATTCCTGCTGTTATTCCTTTCACACACCTTAAAGGGACAGTTCGGATTTTCTTAAATTGGGTTGTATAGTGTATTAGATAGAGCAGATGGCAGTCAGCATTGCCCCAATTTGGAGAAGCAGTTCAGGGTTGTGTCTACCAAAGTGTTTTGTTTTTTTGTGAGGCCGGCGTATTTTCTTAATACTTAGCAATGGGAGCGAGTCATAATTACGTTGCACTATGAAAGGTCTGTCCTCTCCCTCCACCCCTTCCCCTCAGCCAAAGGAAGTACTCTACCTTGTGCTGACATGTTTACTTCTGTGGATATTCCGTATCACAGCAACCATATGCAAAGCGTCTCAGCTGAAAAAACACCACGCTTCCAAGGTGCTCTCAAGCACTCCCAGCTGAGTGTTTCATGAGGGGCACCTGCCGTATTCAGCTGAAAAAAAAAAGAAACGCTTTGGTGGACACGGGGCCTTATGAGTAGTGGCACAGAAGCTAAACCATGTACTGCTGTAGGTGGAGACGGCAGCAAAATGTATTTTAGCCACCTAAAAAAGAAAAGTTTAAGTGTACACTAAATTAAGAATCTTGTCACGGTTTACCTTGCCATCAGACGGTGATTTTTCACTTGAGGAACTGAAGCTGTTATCTATGCTCTCTTCAAAGCTACCACTCATCTGACAGAAACCGTCATTTTACCTCACAGAACACGGGAGCTGCTGGTCTAAGGCCCTGATCACACAGAAAGTGTTTTAGCAGGTGGAGGCGCCTTTTTGTAATTGTTTTTAATGAGTATGAAGCCTTCTGCTCACGGTTTTTGCATTGCAACATGCCTTGCATTTCTACGCTCTAGGTGCCTGCCATTTTTACTGGAGCTCTCTGATCTCCTCGAGTTGAAAAACCGTCATTATCTTTTTTCCAATTGTCAAATCAGATGATGTGAGAGGCGGTGGACCTTCTGTGGCGGTCACAACAACAAGTCTACAGTTTGTAAACAATGGAGGACAAACTGATGGTAGTGGTTGCTGGATACCCAGAGCTATACTGCCTCGATGATAGACAACAAGTTGTCAAACTGCCCACAGTCATCCTAAAACATGCCTGGAAACAGCCATCATGGAGGAGAAGCTCCTGGACCAACTGGTGGTACTCCCCATGATCCACCCTCGTTTTTAGTGTCTCATGTACCCACACAGATCTCTGGTTCCCTGTGCCTAACAAACTATTTGCTGACAGCCTCTCGCCCTCAACCAGAGCTACAGGAAGTACCCTCTGCCTCAACATTTTAGGAACTACCTACTGATTACTGTGGAAAAAAAACGTACATTGATCACACAGGAAGGTTAGTGTAAGGACATGATGGGGTGGTTGCCTGGCAACAATAAAAAGGTGAAGCGAGTGTTATTTTTTTACTAGTGCCATTCAATTAAAAAAATGGCAGTGCAGTGCGCTTTGTGTGTGATCAGGGCCTAATGCTACCTTGAGCTCAGCTAGTTTGTCTTTGTGTTACTAGAACTAAAGTGTTAGTTCAGATTCACTAAAGTCACACATTAACAGGCAGCGGTAAACCAGCAGCTCCCATGTTCTGCCATGTTAAATTACTGCTGTTGTTAATGGAGTGTGGCTTTAAGGAGAGCATAGATATGGTCATGGTTGTACTCCCTCCTGCTTCTCCAAACTGGAGGCATGCCACCCACCATCTACTGTAGGTGACACACTGACTGTGAATAAACACCTCATGCAACTGCAGTTCAAAAAAATCTGAGCTTTCCCTTTCAGTTGGACAGCTGCTGCTGCAGTAAATCAAACACTTAGATTTAATCTCACTCACAAAGACGTCAGTAAGTGCGGGGTGTAAATGATGAGTCATGTGGTGATAGTGTCATGAATGTCAGGTATGCGTAACTGTTTCTCATTAGGCAGCAGCGTGATGAATTTGTGCAGCACCACCACCCTGTGGTTATTTGCATGAATGAGAAATGTGTGTGGCATGAAGCTGCACAGTGAAATACACCTGCCATCAGACTAAACCAGTGGTTCCCAACCTGCTTTTAACCCTTAATGTGAAGTAATAGCTCCCTGCAGTTACTTATTAGTGGTTGTGTTTCTAAACATTGTGAGCCGTTAATGTAGCTCTACATTTACTCAAGTATTTTACTTTAGTACACCTCTGAGTTACCTGTAGTTTACTTGTTCTACTTTTTTAGTAGATGTAAACTTCTACTCCATGACATTTTAAGGCAAATATTTTTTTTTTACTTTTTACAACACTGCATTTATTAAGTACTTGTAATTACTTTGCAAATTACTACTGCATCAATAATAATCAAATATATTATAATGTAACAACTACAGAGCCTATTTTAGCTGCATAGAGAGTACTTTTACTTTAATACTGAAAGTGTATTGTCACTTTCAGCAAAAGTATCTAAGATGTTGAATGCAGGAGTTTTACTGGTAACAGTATTTTTTAACTGTGGTATTTCTACTGTTGCTTAAAGGGACAGTTCATCCCAAAATCAAAAACACATACTTTCCATTTGCATTTAGTGCTGTTTATCAGTCTAGATTGTTTTGGTATGAGTTGCAGAGTGTTGGAGATATCTGCCATAGAGATGTCTACCCTCTCTTGAATATAATGGCACGAGATGGCACTTGGCTTGTGGTGCTCAAAGCGCCAAAAAAATAAATAAATAAATAAAAAAAATTAAAAACTCAACAACAGTGTCTCTAGAGAAATCATGACCTGGTTACTCAAGATAATCCACAATCCTTGTTGTGAGCAGTTTCGTGTAGGAACTACTTTCTTTCTACCGAACTACACACGCTAACCGTATCACTACGCAGAAGAAAGTGTGCATCTACTCACTGACAAGAGGCCCATGCTCGTGACAGCATGAGGTGTAAACATTAATGGCGTCCTCCTCGGCTGAGGTCAGTGGTGCTAGGTGAGCTAGTATTAGATGCACGCTTCCTTCTGTGCAGTCACACAGTTGGTGGGTGTAGTTTGGTAGAAGGAAAATAGTTCCTACATGAAACTGCTCACAACAAGGTCTGTGGATTATCTTGAGTAACTGGGTCATGATTTCTGGAAAGAGACATTGATGTAGAGTTTTCCAAATGTATATTTTTGGCAATTTGAGCACCACAAGCTGAGTGCCATCTAGTTCCATTATATTTGAGAGAAGGCAGACGTCTCTACGGCTGATATCTCCAACACTTGGCAACTCACACCAAAACAATCTTGACTGATAAACAGCACTACAGATAGGAGTAAAAATATGTATTTTTGATTTTGTGGTGAACTGTCCCTTTATGTAAAAGATCTGAGTATTTCTTCTATAACTGCAGAGTTGGAGAATCTGGGGGATGGCCTCAGCTTCGTTACTTTAATTTGTCTTGTGCTTTTTGTTCATTCTTTTTATCTTTAGATAATTTCTGTTTTTAAATACTTAACAATATTATTACTAATGTTTTCCCCCTTCAGTGCAACGTACCTACAATTATGAGAAATATATTGATGACTTTTCCACCCAGTCACAAGTACAGTCCAGAGCAGCAGCCCCACACTGAACTCCCAACAGCTACATGAGTCTCTTGTTTCATCTGCAATAAAATCACACCATATCCCAAAAAGATAAACCTCACAAATTCCACTTTAAATAGGTCACGCTGCTTTTTTATAGCATCGTTTGTTACAATAATTGTTACTTCAAAGCAGGACATTTTTTAGTGTTTACATTACTCTGTCTGTGCTTTGTAGTTTGTGCTTACTTGAAAAAAGAATAATATCCTGTTTCCTCCTCCCTCTGTCTTCTAGGTGTGCAACGATGTCCGCAGTGACATTGAGAGCAGCTCTGAGGAAGAGCGCGACACGCCCACAGAAGGCCTCAAGGCTTCTCCTCACAGTCCCAAAGGAGAAAACGGCACCAACGGCCACTGTGCTTCTGCCAAAGCTCGAGTGCAGAACCACAGCAGCTGGTGACATGAAGCAGGGAGCCCCCTGCAGTTCATCCCTCACAACCAAGTCTCCAAGAGCTTTGTTTGTCTTATGACATTCCCTTGATGTGCAAAGCTCACGCCCACACACACACATACAATCCACTATCACACCGACAGTGAGAGCGCACAGATTTATGAACTGAAGATGGATATGCAGACACCTGACGTCTGCTTTGAAGAGCCCTGTAATGACACATGACACAACTCGAGAGGTGACATGTAAAAGCCTAGATGATATGGAAATCAGTTGAAGCAAGTGATTTGCTTCAACTTAATTTTCAAATGATGGGATTTTTTTTTGTGCTGAGTTTGGCTGTAGATGTAAATTGGTTTCAATGTTCTCTCCCAGTTTTATTGGTCAGATGAACTTGATTATTTTTGTGTTGAGGGTTAATTCACACTGGACCACAAAGGGCAGAAAATCTGTGGGTTCAAACTCTGAAGTTTGCATTTCTACTGCGTGATGTTACAGCAGGTATTATATGTATAAATAATTGTATTGTTATGGCTGTGATATATCTTTCAGTTCACTCCAATGTCAAACGTACATATTCTTCCTTCTTACCTATAGATTATTTTGGTGTGAGTTGCTAAGTGTTGGAGATATCAGCCATAGAGATGTCTGCCTTCTCTCAAATATAATGCAACTACATGGAACTCAGCTTGTGATGTTCAAAGCACCAAAAAAAAAAAAAAAAAAACCATCAGAAAAACTCAACGTCAATGTCTCTTTCCAGAAATCATGACCCGGTTACTCAAGATAATCCACAGACCTTGTTGTGAGCAGTTCCATGTAGGAACTATTTTCTTTCTACCGAACTGCACCTGCCAACCGTAGCACTGCGCAGAAGGAAGCGTGCATCTACTCACAGATGGGAGACTCGTGCTTGCGACAGCGCGAGATGAAAACATTAATGTTGTCCTCCTCAGCTGAGCTGTAACTTTGGCTAGGTCACTGGTGCTAGGTGAGCTAGCAGTAGATGCACGCTTCCTTCTGCACAGTGATACAGTTGGCAGGTGTAGTTCGGTAGAAAGCTTTGAGCACCACAAGCCGAGTGCCATCTAGTTCCATTGTATTAGAGAGAAGGCAGACATCTCCAACACTTTGCAGCTCACACCAAAACAATCTAGACTGATTAACAGCACTACAGATAAGAGGAAAAATACGTACTTTTGATTTTTGTGTGAACCGTCCCCTTTAAAAGAATGGCAATGGCAGTGTTTGATCTGAAGTACAACACACTTTAAACAGCAGCAATACCTGCCCTCTGAGATTATTGTGAATTAACCCTTTGACGATGTTGTTTGGCAATTTTGTGACTTGTTTTTTCTGTCTTAATGTTTTTTTACTACTTCTTCCGAGACCAAATGTTTATGAAATTGTTTGTCACTGCCTATTGAGGAATCCAGGTATGAGGACTATACTTAATCTGGTATGACGTTCTCACTTGAGTGCCTTGTAAAAATATATTTCCAAATATATTCTGTTGTTGAAAGGTCTTTCTTGTTGCAGTCCTATTTATGAACACTACATTGCTTAGCGTGGTTTAAGGCATTTAATATAATTTAATACAAACGATTACAGCCATCTTCACTCCTGAAACACACAAGCCTGGATTTTACAACATCTTCCTTTGGAGGGGACGATATCGTCACAATGAAATCACTTTAAAGTCCTGAGAAGAATTATCATCTTCACGATTTAGCGACGGACAGGAAAAAAAAGGAGGAATGGGTAATGTCCTCATCTGTGCAAAAACAAGGATAGTCCATCTCACGTCAGTCTTTGATGACTTCAGGGTTCTGGTTTTCTGCTGCCAGTTTCAGCTGTTTTTGCTTCTGCATATAGCGGTACCCTCGCATCGCACACAGGTAGCCTCCGTAGGCCGTCAGCAGCATCATCGAAGCAGAAAACGTCTTGTAGCCGATGTCAGCCAGCCGCTTTCCAGACACCATGATGAGGATCCTGAAGGAACCGAGAACAGGAAGTCAGAGCAGGCTTAGCACCAAAATAGTTTACTTCGGATACTACAGAGGATGGCAATATAACTCAGGATGCAACTAACGATTATTTTAATTATCCACTAATGTGATGATTATTTTGACAATCCATTAACAGTTTTGTCTATAAATTGTCAAATAATTATGAAAAATGCTCAGAACAATTTCCTCCAAACCCAGACTGACGTATTCATCTTGCTTCTTTTGTCAGACCAACATCCCAAAACCTAAAGACTCTTCAGTTACTATCACAGATGACAAAGAAAGGCAGCAAATTCTCACAGAAACTAAAACCTGCAAGTGGACCTGTATTTTAGAGAAAAAACTGCATTCTGCTTACTACATTTGTCTGAAAGCTACAGTAACTCATTGTTTTACAGCATAATAATTAAACAGAATACATAGTGAACTTATAAAACATGATTTATTATTATAAATAAAACTAACCAACAATATAAAGAGTAAAGGTTTGCTGATATGTTATTATAATACAATACCGTAATTCATACAGCAACTCTGAAAGGGACCATTTTAAGTACATTTAGTTAATGCCAAAATATGCATTTGAATTTTGAATGCTGTACTGTTAAAAGCTGAATAATTCTTCCACTACTTCAGTTCAGTACTTTAAGGGAAAATACCATTTTCAAAATTCTTATGTTACTCCTGTGGTCTACAACAGTCCAAAAACCATTAGTAAACTCTCTTTGAAATCCCAAAGCTGGAGAGCTAAAACCTTGTGACTTAGTCAAATTTGTGATGTCATCAGGTATAAAGTCTGGAGCTGCTCCACACCTGGGTGCTGTGTTGTAAAGAGAACATAGCTCCTGGTTGGGTTTCCCAAGGCAAATAAGTTCCAGGGGAGGGACCAAACCACAAGTGATTGAAGAGGACCCTGATGTTACAGTGCAATCAGACTTCGCATGGGGGCGGTGTCCCTATACCAGGTGAGTTACTCAAAGTCAGATTGCACCGAAGCATTAGGAAAAGCGTTGTGGGCCCATCACTCGCAGAGATATGTATCAGGTCAGGTACAGTGTGTGCCAGGCGGCAGGCAGGGGAAGGGACCCAGGCATGCTGACCCCTGGCATCACAGACTAGCTACAGGTAGGATGTCCCAGGGCAGACCCAGAACATACTGGACGTATTATATATCTTATCTGGCCTGGGAGCGCCTTGGGGTCCCCCAGGAGGAGCTGGAAAGTGTTGCTGTGGAGAGGGATGCCTGGAGTACCTTGTTCAGCATGCTAACCCCGGTCCCAGCTCCGGATATGTGGATAAAATGGATGGATGGGTGGGTTATAGATGACACTAAGAGCACCCAGACGACTGACTAAGTATTAGGTACATTTTCAGTTTCACAAATGAGAGCACTACAATGAAGTAAAGGTCATTTGGATATACTGGTTCACAAATTCAGTCTTCCGTTCATTGTCTATGGAGCAGCTCCAGACTTGATACCCTGTGACATCACAAGTTTGAGACTCACTTCTGGTTTCTGGATTTCAGAGAGAGCAGCTCACGTTCACAATTATTGATTAAACTTTCACAGGCCTCGATAACATATTACAATTGTTAATTTGTATGGTGTTCCCTTTTAAGTAAAGCAAAAACCCACATTGCTAGGATTTAGCGTTAGACACCAATACACTTGAAATTTTAGCGGTTGGCTTATGAAAAATAGCCGACAGTTCAGAATCAGCTGTCTGTTAGTAAAACTAACTGCCATTTTGAGCGTCCCAGCTGCGGTGAATGGTGACGATTTGCATTTTATTTTAAATATATAACGCCACACATTCCCATTCATACGGTGATTTTATCAGCTCCGTTAACAGTAGCAGTGCTCGTTAACAGGCAAATATCTGTAACAGTCACTGGTGATGTGAGGCACATTAAAGCACCACTCGTAATTTAACAGATCGTCTGATTAATGTCCATAAAAGTTACGTCCTCTGTTGCTTTATCACTATATGCTAGCTAGCACTCGGTTAGCTGTGTTGTTTACACAAGTTAGCACACTGTTTTATCGACTTTGAAATAACTCACGTCTTCATCACGTCTTTTCTGAGAGTTAAATACTTAAATCTTTTCTTACCTCTTATTTTAAAGGGGGATAAGAAGCGCGGGTTGTCGTAGCTGTCCTCAATGTCAGCACCCCGTCATGTGAAGTTAGCACGCAAGCTAACTAACCTTCGTTTTCGTAAGGTACGGCAAACCAGGAGGGACTATCTTCTTCTTTCGACAAAACTGCGTGCAAAGTCCCACAGCGCCACCTACTGACCCGGAGTACATACAATGCATTAAAATATGTTTACCAAGTCTATTTTATATTCAAAAAATAATAATAATTAAAAAAGACACTACAAAAACTTTTTTTTTTCAAGTGACATCATACCGTGTATCACAGAGGGTTAAATCTACGCACCACAAACTAACCAGGAACATTATGTTCAGTTACGGCAGCCATTGTTTTCCACCCGGATATATTTTGGAGGCGCACACATTACAATGGCAACATGTTCGTTGAGTAGCGGTGATAAAGATGAAATAAATGACCCAGGAGCCGCTCCTTATGGAAACTTTATAAACTATTACACCTTCAATCCTCCAGAGAACCGTCTGAGCCTGATCCCAGCCACGTTGCTCCAGGATCTGGGCTACAGAGACCAGAACACACTGATCCTGGACGTGGGCTGTAACTCAGGGGTAAGTGACTGTGGGACATTAACAGTGCTTTTCTAAATAATTTATCTTTATAAGTTTAGAATGAGACTTTCTCTATATTTAACTTAACTTTCCCTTTAAGTGGATAGGACTCTGTCACATGTTTCAACACAGTTTATCTCAGTCTGAGCTTTCATGATCAAAACTCTCTTGAGGGACTGTTCTTTATTTATCAGAGGGGAGGGCGGCTTTGGTGTGACTTCATGTTTTTTATTTTTTGACCCTGCCTAAAGCCACAACTATTTTTCTTTGAGCCTCCCTGAGTGGCTGGCAGAAAACAAGTGACACTCCCTCCACCATAAATAAGATTTTTATATTTATTTATTTATTTTCTGATAATCAAAGTACACAACTAAACAAAATATATAATATTGGTTTAGTCGTTTTTAGAAATTTTTATGTGGAAAAACTACATATTATACCTTTAAAAACTTGAAGACAAAATCCTGGACTTGTCGTGCATGCTGGTTACTTGGTGCAAACGGCTTAATTTTGTCCAAATTTTTTTTTCCAAAATTTTTTCTTTGTGGGTTCTTTGCACATGATGTGTCCAAGGACTGTTAAAAATTTTAACATCCCACAATAATTTGTGTTTTTACAGTTTCCGGCTACAAAAAAAATGGTTTCATTTTGGCAATTTTTTAAGAAAACATGCAGGTTTGGAGGGCATGTTTTCTTACAAAAATATGCGGTAAAATGAATACAAAATACACCCAGTTAAACTTATATGCCCCTCCCCTAAACCAAAATTAAAAACATATGTCCCCCTGAAACTGAAATGAGCAACTCAAATATTCTTAAACTCTTTCCAGATTATCAATCAATCAATCAAAAGCCCAATATCACAAATCACAGTTTGCCTCACAGGGCTTTACAGCATACGACATCCCTCTGTCCTTAGGACCCTCACAGCAGATTAGGAAATCACCCCCCCAAAAAAAACCCTTTAATGGGGAAAAAATAAATAAATAATAATAATAATTAAAGATTAATTCAAATTATTCTAAAAATATTAGTAGTTGTTATTTTTGAGTAAAAACAGAATACTTTACAAGTGCCATTGTTAAATGTATCAATTAGAGTTGGAAAATAGTTATTACATTTATTCATGTTAACAGTGGTGTTACTGAGCACATTTACGGAAGTATAGTTTTTAGGTATTTCTGCTTGAGTATTTCCATTTTATGCTTCTTTACACTCCCACTCCTCCACAAATCCGAGTGGAATATTCTAATTTTTACTCCACTGCATTTCATATGGGGATTTAGTGTGACATATTTGGCATCTTTGAGATACATCTTAAATTTCTGAATAGAATTTGAAATAGAGTAAATACCTGTCCACATATCAGATCCCTTTTTGTAGTTACAGCTGTCCTCTCTTTTCTTCCTCCCCCTGTGAATGTCAGGAACTGAGTGTAGCCTTTTACAAGCACCTGCTGCAGGAGCCTGTGAGCCAGCAGGAGTCAGCTGACAGCAGAGTAAATCTGCTGGGCTTCGACTTGGACGAGATCCTCATTCAGCGGGCTCAGCAGAACAACCCTCTGCCCGACAGCATCTCCTTCATCCCTCTGGACATCACTAAAGACACCGACCAGCTGCAGGATTACCTCAAACAGCACGGCTGCTCCCACTTCCACCTGAGTCTGTGCCTGGCCGTCACCATGTGGGTCCACCTGAACCACGGAGACGCTGGCCTGCTGCAGCTGCTCTCTCGTCTGGCTTCCATCAGCCAGCACCTCCTGCTGGAGGCACAGCCCTGGAAGTGTTACCGCTCTGCAGCCCGGCGGCTGAGGAAGCTGGGCCGCTCAGACTTTGACCACTTCAAGTCCCTGAAGATCCGTGGGGACGTAGCGGAACAGGCCAGGGAGCACCTGGAGAGACACTGTGGCATGGAGCTGGTCCAGAGCTTTGGCAGCACCACCTGGGACCGCAAGCTGCTGCTGTTCAGAAGGAGATGAGACTGAAGGGTGAGAAGAGTTTTCATCTGCTGCTGCTCAGGAGCTGCAGGGACATGATCAGGAAGACCAAACACTGATGTGGGGTATGAGAAGAAAGTGAACTCATCAGTTGATCAACATTCATTAGCTAACAGTTATGTAAGTTATATTGTTTGTCACTTTTTAAGCAAAAATGCAAAAAAAAAAAAAAAATTGGTTCAAGCTTTTCAAATGTTAAGATTTTTGGATCTCTGTCTTAAATGATAATAAACAAAGTATCTTCAGGTTTTATTTTCTCAGTCAAACAAAACACGCAGACTGAAGATGTCACCTCGGCCCCGGCAACATTTTGTAGATCAAACTATTGATTGGTAGATTAAGAAAACTGGCAAAAGACAATTAGGGCTGCAATTTACACTTATTTTCATTCTTGATTAATGTCCTAATTACTTATAATCATTTTGTTAAAAAATGTCAGAAAATTTCGATCTGCTTCCCAAAGCCCCAAGGTGTTGTTTTAAATATCTTATTTTGTGCAATTAACAGTCAAAAAGCCAAATATATTCAGTGCAAATGTTAATAATTAAACAGAGAAAAGCAGCAAATCTCCACACTGGAGAAGCTGGAACCAGGGCATGTTTGAAATCTTTGCTTAAACAATAAACAGTTATCAAAATTATTGCCAATTTACCTGATTGTTGTAGCTCTTAAAGAAAGGAACTGGGGGTTGCAACACATTTAACTGAGTATTGTGTGGCTAAAGCCTTAAAATACACCATCTGTGGGTGTTTTTTTTGTCATTAATGTCCCCAAAAAGTGTTCTCTAAATTATCTGTCTCAACACTGATGAGTGCAGTAATTAAAATGTTTAAAAAGAAGCTATAGTGCAGTCAGTACTGTGCCGATGAAAGGTCTAGTGTGTAGGATTTAGTGTCATCTAGCAGTGAGTTCAAAGACTGCAACCAACTGAAAGTTCCTTCATGTAGAACTACAACGGCTGACGCAAAAATGTGAATGAACCTGTCTAGATAAAGTGTTTGGTTTTCCCATTATAGACTATTTTAGCACAACATGGCGGACTCATTAGAAGAGGCCCCACTATGTATGTAGACACAGACTGTTTCAAGGCGTCTTTCAGCTGCTCAGAAACAACATCATTATTTCACTTATTTCACACAGCATATTAAGCGCTGAACTGTGGTCCTCCTGAACTGAAATGCACACTTTAAGAAATGCCAAAATTAGTTTGAGGACTGTGCCGCTCAATGGTAGGTTGTTCCCTTCGACAAGGTACAGACTTGATGTCAGAAATAAAAGTCTACCACTTACTTAAAGAGATGGATTCTCGCAAAACATTGATTGCAGCAGTCAAACAGAAGAACTGGGGTCTCATTTATAAAAGTGTGTCTAGGATCCATACTAAAAATGTACGTAAAGACAAAAGCCAAAAATGGCATGTGCTGAAAAATATTCAACAGTTTCTACTATCAGGCTTCCATCTCATCATCTGTGCTACAAATTTACCATCTCCAAAATGTTGGTAAGCATGGGTCAAAGTTTCTCCCGTCAAATGTGTTTTGATAGATCACAGCTTTTCTGTGGGAAGTGGCGTACACCTCTTTCAGGCCTCGTTTTGTGCATACGCAATCTTTATAAATGAGACCCCTGGACACCAGTAAGAAACTCAAGGGTCTGTGGCACTGATGTCATGACCAGTCAGTTTCCTAATTTTTGCTGTTGGCTAGTGAGCGTTCGCTTGTTCGAGCTAACTATCTTGAGCCAGAAGTTTACAGAGGAAGAGCGGAGCATGTGTATTTTTGTGTGCTGTGTATCGCTCATCATTTTCGTTCTCCAAAAAACTGCGAAACTGACCAGTAATGAAACGAGCACTACAGATTCAGAAGTTTCCCAACAGTGTCCAGTTCTTTTTGACCGCTGCCATCCACACTTTGACCTGGTTCATATCCTTAGGGAAAAGGTAGACTTTTATTTCTGACATCAAGTTTGTATCTCATCAAAGGGAACATCCTACCACGAGGCAGCACAGGCCTAAAACTAATTTTGCTGTTTCCCCAGTGTGTATTTCATATGCTGTTGTTGTGTGGTAGTGGCTGAACCAGAAGTCTAAGTGGAACAACTGAAGATGCCTTGAAATGGTCTATAAACGTCTCTTTCTAAGGTAACAAAACCACAACAATTTTTGTTTTCAGGTGATTAAAGAAAACATAGTTATTACTAACCTTTTATTTTCCATTTCTGCCTATAAAAAGCCCCCAAATCCTCCACACTGGACCTTTAAATTATAAAATATTTTGTTATTATCAAGCAGCTACATCCTTCTCTATCAGAGCCGACTGACCTGCAGTGATCAATAACACAAAACGTGAGCACAACACACTAATTTTCATAATTTTAATTACAGAATACTAAAAATAACATTACATAAAATGTCTTTTTAAAAGAAACCATTGAATATTACAAAGGTTGTAAATTTTGTAAAGTTAGGATATAAAATCTTTGAACAGTGGTGCATAATTGAAAAGAAAAATAATTTTCATAAAATGTATATATTAACTGTTCTACTACATAAAAAATGAGATGGACACAAGTCGCAGACAGACGAGATGAGTAGACACCGCCATTACCGCGGTGAGCTCTCCTTTCGAAGGAAGAAAGACTTGAGATGCACAGCACACACCACAATCAGCTTTAAGTTCTCAAGTTATGTCTATGTTCCAAAAAAAAAAAAAAAAAAAAAAAAAAAAGAGGGGTTACCATTTACAACAGAGGGGAACAAACGAGTTCGAGAGACTACAAAAAGTGACTTGGTGACTGCTCCCAATATTCACACGCGCACACACACACGCACGCACTCACATCTCGATGGGTAAAAACCCGACTACACTGGCCTTGGTTCCATAAACACAAACCATTTTCCACAGGTTTAAACTGTACAAAAGAGTTGCAAAATGTGGAGAGACCTCATACTTTAAAAATCGTTCCACCGAGACGGAAACAATGATCAGCTCTCGTTCAGTCTCGTCACACAGCCATTCCTATATCCTACTGTACAACTGGTCAGTCAGATCCACTGAACACTACCATGGTCACATAATTCAACATCAGGAGGTCGACCTTAAGGAACTGGAATAGACTATACACAACAGGAGGTGGGGAGGTGAGGGTGGGGGGGACATGCATAATCCAACAGTGTGCTTTCTTTCTTCCTCTTCTTTCTGAGTCACCCTGTGTCACTTCGTCATGAGCCCTTTGTTAAGATGTTTTAGTCAGAGGACATTCAGAGCCTGTTTGAACCGCGGATGTCCCTCTACATGTACGCCACACTGGCCAGTCTTATCCACACAGAGGTATTTCATTAGTCTCCTGCCGTTTGGGAGACGCGTTGTGTCACATTTTTTGGTAAACAGACACGGAGGGGAGGGGGGGGGGGTTCAAAAAGATATGGTTTTAATCAAGAGTTAACGCTGAATGGCAGAATCACTGTTCCTTCTGTGCAGTAGTGGTTTCAGTGGTCCGTGAAGACCAGGTGGAGAAATGCAGAGAGAAAAGAGTGAAGGAGAGAAGGTGGAGGTGGAGGGAGGGGGGCAGACGATAACCCAGAGGACGTCTCAGGAGACAAAAGGACATCAGAGACAACAGAAGCATTTAAGAGGAAATGAGGCGAGAGAGACACCAGCAGAGCTACTTGGTTTGGCTGGTCTGTTGCTCAGACAGCTGGAGTTTGTTTGTTTTTTGTCACCAGGGATCCAGGAGCTGCTGCTTATCATGTAAGCTAATAATGCTGTTTAGGTTCAGTTGAGTCCCCCTGAGTTAGTGCACACGTCAGAGTCAGGCAGGCCTTGCCCGCTTGTTCGTTAAGAAATCCACAAAAAGAAGCATTAAGAAAAAAAAAAAAAATCAATTCAGCAATTTTATATCAAGCTTACAATTAGCTTTGGAGAGAAACAGCCCGTTGTAGTTTTACAAGTCTGTGACTGGGGAGGGATGTTAGTGTGGAGGAGGGTGGAGGGGGGAAAAAGAGTTCAGGCGTGAATACGGCAGCTCCCACAAAGTGGTGCAGCTGCCCTCTGAGTCCTGCTCATTTGCTGAGAACTCTGACAGGTATGCATTTTGTGTTGTGAATGCAATGTGCGCTATGTGGTGCCCAACCAGAGACTGCGCTGTGTAGTCTGAGCATGCTCATACTTTTATATATCGATCGTCTGACATGATTCTCAAGTGGTCGTTGGTGCGGGTCTGCCCAGCAGGCGAGTGGTCGGGGATCTGGTCAGGTGCTGGTGTTGCAGGTTACGCCGACTGTGCATCAGTCAGACAGACAGGTAGGTAGACAGGCAGGTGGGCTGTGATGGGACTCGGGGGGGGAGGCGGAGGCTAGATCAAGGGAGCCGTCTCCATCAAGCCCTTGTTGGGGTCCAGGCTGGCAAAGAAGCGGACGTCCCGGTCCTTGTCGGACTGCAGAGCCATCACAGTCTCCTCCAGCTCGTCAGAGTAGGCACAGCCGGGCTCCTTGAAGTAAGCTGGTTACAAAACACAAGACTCTGTTAGTTCAAGTAAAAACCAACCAGAAGATGCTACGGGATGAGTGTAATAGAGAGAAGAGGCAGAGCATGTGTTAGAGGCATATTCTCTCCTCGTTGTATTCAAAGCCCCATATATATCATTCCTCTGGACCGTAGACCACACTGATAAGGTCTTTTCAATTGGTAAGCAACACTTCGCCTGCATACTCTGTCATATTTTGTGAGTCTGCTCTTTTCCAATCACACAGAGCTAGTCTTCCGTCTCTGTCTGCTTGTGTGAGCCTGTGTGTGTATGAGTGTCTGCTTATCTAGCAGTGATACAAAGCTATTAATACATACAGAAAAGAAAATAGACCAGATGGCAAAACTACAGTGGCAGGTCGGTGCTGCAGCGATAGTTTTGGCTCGCTTAGGAGCCAATGGAGCAGCCGTGGGGTGCCGTGGCCAACTTCCTGGCTTGGGGGTGTTTCCGCCTCCTGTCTAAAGTTGAACCCGGTGGCTCCGCAAAGCTCTGTTGCCAGCCTCGGGGCTTAATAACCGGCTTCCGGGCTTTGGGGCGCTTTGCAGCACTTCCACCTCCAGTCTATGTCAGTCAGATGTGCTCTCAGGTGCCGAAATTTGGCACAGATGAATTTAACGTGAACTAGTACTCAGTGGTACTGATGTAATTTGGTCAGTTCTCCTAAAAAAGTACAGAGCATGGTACCCAACTCTCGGTACAACTAAATATATCTTTTCGAACATGCTCCGCCATGTCAAAATCAGGCTGGATAGCTGTTTAGAAAACAGTTAAATATCTCAGGGAACAATCTGTACTGCATGCTGAGTAGAAAAAAAAGTTTAAAGACAATTCAGTTCTGGCAGTGGGCGGGTGTGTGCTTGAGGCACGCACGGGCGCTCGCTTGTAGCTTCGCCTGTCAAACTGTAAGACCTGCCTGTCACTGAAAATGAATTACAGGCACGTCAATCGCCCCCCATCTGCAAAGACAATTACACTGGGTGACATTTCCTTTATTTATGATGAACATAGAGTTGATCCCACATTCACCCTCTTGCTGGCGCAAATACTTGCAGAAAACAGTCCCTAACAAATACAGTTTAATCCTGTTTGAGTAATATTTGCTGACCACTACAGCACTCAGCTGTTTCATTTAGCCATGAAACCATAAAATGAAACTATATATCTATGACTTGCTTTCAAAGATGTAAAACTAACTAACAGAAAATTGGAAAAGTATTGAGAGACTTCGAATTTTTGTTGCCAATGAAACCCTTGAAAAGGACAGTGCATCATTTAAAAGACAACATCAGACATTTAGTTTATTTCCACTCTACCTTTCTCCATGACACTCTGTCGTAGAGCCTTGGCCACCAGAACACGGACATTAGCCACTGGGTCTGAGGAGAGGCTGAGCAGGCTGGGCAAGAGGTGCTGGCCGAACTGATCCATGGGCATGCAGTCCTCCTCCACTATGGCCTACAGAGAATACACGGACACAGACAGGCTGGTGTTAAAGACAGCTAGCCAACACAGGAGGAGGGGGGTCGTGCAGCATTCAGCGAGGATGATTTAGCAGTATTGTATGACATTATAGACAACTGTCAGACAAGCAATCAAAGATGTACACAGCTAATTATGGAGGTGAGAAACAGGTTAAGTGAATGCAGGAGCTGCTGTTTAAGAGAAGTGAGATCAGAGCTACGGACCTGGCAGATGAAGGCAAAGGCCTGTCGCCCCACCCACTTGGGACAGTGGCAGAACCTGACGGTGAGCTCGTTGATGAAGTTCAGGCCCAGATCGTCGGCCCCACATGCATACAGCTTCTGGAGGATCTCTACAACCTGAGAACACAAGAGGTGATGACACTCGTAAAAATCAGGACTTTCAGAGGCGGACATTGGAGCAACAACAGAATAACAGAACATGAGCAAAAACATATGAGATGGTAAGACGAGGCGCTGTTTGCAGCAGCTTTATTGATCGATGCATAGCCTGAAAATGTCACACTGCCATTTGAAGAAACAGTTCAGCATTTTAAGAAATACGCTCATTCAATTTCTCTGCGAGTTAAATGAGAAGATTGCACAATTGTTAAAATGAGAGGTTATGCTTTTATGGTCGATTACGTGCCACGCCATTTCTTGGAAGGGTGCGGTAAGTTCCTCTTGTCATAAAATGAATTTATTATGATCCATTCTTTTGTATTTTTGTGTCACACCAAGTCACTAGGCCCATCCCCATGTGATTACAAGAAATTCTGTATAAACATCTTCCAGTTCGGCATATTCAAAGCATGTGGGACAAAAAAGAAACACAAACAAGCCGAAAACAATATCCCAAGTAAACTGTTCACATGAGAAATATCTACAGATTATTTTGATAAAGAGCTAAAGGGCTAATTTATATATTTTATATATTTTGTATCTGAACAGCCAGCTCAGTCTTTGCTCATCCAATTAGTAAGATTTCTCGGCCTTGAGGAAAAAGAGAATTACCCAAAACTATTACTTAAACTTAGCAGGTGTAAAAGAGCCCTCTGGGTGACTACGTGATCAGACTCCAGACACTTTGCAGCCAAGGTAAGATGATCAAACATGACCATCTGTCAGGGCATTACTTTAACACATACCCACAACACGTACCGAACATCATCCATCAGCGTGACTCATTTCCCGTTTGTGACCTAAACCATCTGTCATCAGATGTTCCCTGCGCTGGCATTAAAAAAAAAAGTCAATACCGTACACTCACCAGTTTGTAGGAGATCCACCTGACCTCTGAGACTTTGTCAGAGCAGAGTGTGAGTGCTATCTGTCTGAGGTAGTCATACACATCGTAGTGGCTGTACAACTCTATGATCAAGATCAGCTGCCTGGAGGGGGACAGAGAGACAGAGCGTGAGGGGTATGTGCACACTTAACTGTAAAACAAAGTGCAATGTTGTTAATACAAAAGGCTTAAACTAAATAAGCTGCCATTTTGAAAATACTTTCATAAATCAAAATTAGGAAATGAATCGTTTAGGTGAGACTGGCAGTAAATGCACCGGATAATTTAATCTAAGCTATATACGGTGTCAAGGCCGTAACACACCAAGCTAATGGTCAGGTGTCAATCAATGCTGGGCTGTTAGTAAGCGTCTGTTGCCCCTTTTGGATTTTTTTAGCGGATTTAGCCAGTTAAATTAGTGTCAGAGACGGTAGAGCCTGTTGGTGAATCAAAATCACTCTGACTGGCAGTTCAGCTCAGCGCAAGAGAAGAGAAATGAAAGTGAGGAAAGTAAACACAGAGCTGAAGTCAAGAGGGAGTGAGATTGAACCACGTGTTACATAAAGTAAGATTATTTTTCTTTAGGTACACTGTGTATATGCTCTGTTCTTTCAACACTGGATTGTGTTGTTAATGTGCTAACAGGCTAACTAGTATCAAGACAGTCTTCCGATTTTCCTATCTGAATGACAAATACAGACTACAGCTGTCTGCTGGTGTGGAGAGTTGTTTCCTCTCACGCAGGCGCAGTACGTTGGCTGTCTGCTGTAGTCTTTGCAGTGTGTTCATGTGCAACTTTTTGGATGAGCAACAGGGGTGGTTGTCGCTAGTTCTTTTTTAAGTCGGTTTGGTGTGTCTGGGCCTCTGCATGAGCAACCTTCAGGCCGTCACAGTGTCCACGAGCAAGACACTGATCAGTCAGCCTGGATATAAGAGTTTGTTAAAATCTAAAATGTGATTATTTTCCAATTGGAAGAAGAAGAGGAGACGTACTCTGCCAGCTCATATCTGAATCTCCAGTTGCGACTGTTGTCCGTCACCATGAACTCCTGAAGCTGGTACAGATATTCTCTCCTCTTGTCTGCGTGCAGCAGCTGCAACAAGAAGAGGCACAAAAAACAGCTCAGTTATCGAGTACATACCCAACTCTGATTTTCTTCTTTAACTGAGAAACCAAAACGGCTGCAAAAAAGTGCTTTCATATCTTAACCGAGCTGTGAATTCAACTGAGTCCTTTTTGCCATCTATCACCAAGAGTGTTGCTGCAATGTCCCAAACTGAAACTTCAGGAGGGACCAAATGTGTGCACATCCAGACAAAAACAGTCAGATGCAAAGTAGAAAATACTTCACTGCAGGCACAAAAGAGGTCCGCACACTACAGCTTTTTGTTAGGCTACAAAAAGCTTACTTCTCTTGTTCTCTTTGCAAAGCAATATTTCAATCTACAAGATCTCACAGAGTGCAGGCCTCCTTTGTGCCAAACAGAAACTTACAAGCCTCCTCCTCTGCATTGCTCAAACTCTATAAAACATGACAAAACTTATTCATCTTACGTGCAAAATCTGCAGGGTATAAATCTATAGTCTCACCTTGAGGAAGTCGTAGAGGTGTTTGAGTACGCCAATGCGGACCTCGTCCAGGTCCTTGAGAAAACCGTTGAAGATGGGCACCAGATCAGCTGCCGTCAGCTGGTCTCCCAGGATCACTGCCAGCTCGTGGATGGAGAAAGCCAGCGTACGCCGCACCTTCCACTGAGGTCAGGGAGGAAGAGGAGGGTAGAGGGGAAAGAAAACAAGAGGATTAAAGCATCAGCAATGAACAAACAAGTATCCTGGTAAAAATATAATGTAACTTTTTGGCTGCTTTTTAAATATGAAAGCAACCACTTGTTAGTTTATTCATATTTACTGATAATTCAGGAAAAACTGTGAGCTTAAAAATGTAACTGAGAGAATCTGAACCCCTCCAGTGACTGGTCTGAGTCTGCAGTGTTGTCATGCCAACAGTGACATTCGGTGCTGTGATGAAGTAATGAGCCACAGTGTGACCGAGTGGTGTCACGCTGTCTCTGCTGCTGTGAAGTGAAGCAGTGTTTCCCTCTGTTCAGTTCCCTTTCTTGCTCACATCTTCAAGCAACGCATTTGTACAACAAGTACTGAGTAACTCAAGTCAAGCCAAGGACATTACAAAAAAAATAAAACATGCATGATGTTGTGGATTCTCAGTAACATGGCTGAGAGAAATTCTGGCAGCAACTTAAAACAACTCGCTTCACTAGTTAGCTTTAAGAAGCTGTGAGGGACACACAAACACTGAGGAGCATCAGGACGACATCAGACTGGCACAATCAAACAGAAAACACCTGATCTATTGGAGGGAAATTACCAAAGTACACACAAGTTCAATTGTTATCTGGCCCTAAAGCACAGTTATACACTGGCCTCATATGTCACCGTGTCATTGTCCTGTTAAAAGTGCATTCATCATCTTGTGAGGATCCATTTTGTTTTCATTTGTTAAACATAATTCAATAATGTGTAATTTAGCTTTGGCAACCATGTAGCTAACATTCATGCCAGTAAAACTCATTTGAATTAACAGTAATTCAATAAAGCGATCACAAAGAACGACTTTGTGGCAGATTTTTAGGGGCTGAATTAATTTCCATGCTTCAATCCAGACCTTTGAATCATGACATCAAACTGCGGCTTCTTGGGTTGAAATAAAAAATGATCCAATAAGTGCTGTGGGGGGACTAAAACTTAGCCAATAAGCAACACAGGTTTGGACAAATGCCATTGTCAAGCTGTGAGCTGGAGCCAATGTGGAGTAATAGCAACAATGGTGAACACTTTAGACAAGACAGACGGTGCTATCAAGGCTGTTTTTAAATCAACATGTCTTCTTAATATCAATAAAAAGTTCCTTAAAGCTGGAGTGTGAACTTTTGTCTTCCCCATCTGGCAGCGAGAGTGATCACGCAAACACTGTCGAATCACCCCCACCCCCAGGAACGCTCTTCTGACTTACATCCTTTTTTAATTTGGAGCAACCACTCCAGAAACTTACATAAAACAAATAAATTAATCTTTTCATCTTTCACTCTGGCTGGTTGCCATAAAACGCATCACCTGCTGGGAAAGTCGCCACAGACGCCAGACACCAAAACTGCAGTATACTGACAAAATATAGAGCTCTCCCTGGCAGCGATAGGCTTAATCAGCACTGTGTGAACTTGTTTGGCAAGGGCTCAAATGTAATGGATGTTCACTGAAATGTAAAAGTCCTGCACACAAATACATGATTATATAAAATAAAAGAACAAGCTACCACAGCCTATATATAGTTCTTCATGTGGTTAATAACTCACATCAAATATATAATTTCCATATTCTGTGCCTACCTGCACATCAGTAGCGAGGGTTTCATATGTGTCCTTGAGGCAGTGCCAGTTCTGTCGTCCCAGAGTGAGTGCTACTCCCGGCAGGCTGAAGGCACAGTGTTTGGCTATCTCTGTATCCACCGTCTGGGCCCGCGCCGGGTCCGTCATAGAGAGGTACTGATCCAAAAGCTGCTGCGGGATGACGTTCTGGAGACAAAGCGAGAGATCAAATAGTTTGATGATCAAAAAGGAATCATAAGACACAGGGAGATGTATTTAGTAATCCACATCGATGTGGATTAACTGTAAGGTCCTGATCAATATTTTCGGAGATGCATGAGAGAAGTGCTGACTGACCTGGATCTTGGGCTTATCCTCAAACACTGGGCTGTGAGCAGAGTCATCTTTTCCCTCCTCCTCCACACTCTCTATCAGCTCAGACTCCTGAGGAAAATACAAACACACATTAGGGAACAAGCAAACGCACTTAACATTAACAGTGTTAAAAGTCTCATTACTGCTCTGAATTCTCCGTAGATGCACAAGATGTAAAGACAGATTTACAGCTGTGCATAGCTATAGAGCTGTCACCTGCCTTGGGCTACAGTGTAGCTGACTTACACCTCCTATACATATGTAATTACATGCTAACTAAGATGCCATGTGAGGACTGTGATCTATGACTAGCTAGTAAGTTAGTGTTTTTCAGCCTGGTCTGCGTCACCACAGTGTGGGGAATGTCTGCAGATGAACAGTGTTTAGGCCCATTTATACTCCTTAAAGTTCGAAAATTGATATGTTCATTACAAACATTGTAAACATCACTGCTCATATACTTTCATGCGTCCTTTCTGTCTGTGAGGCCACTAAATACGTCACCAAATGTGGAAGGACAAGTCTTTATACTACATCAACAACTCGTTATGCTCCATCATTTTTAAATGTTTTCCTCGTATCCTATAGTGGTATCTTGCTTGAACTAAGTTACACTGTCCACAAAATTTCCAGTGGTACTACTAGATTTTGTTCGTATGGGTAAGCTTTTAAAAAACGTGCACAAACACAGATGAAACAAACAGAGTATGGACCGAAGGCTCTGGCTGTGTCCATATACGTATCTAACGTAGAGCATAAATGAGCCCTGAAAGACGTCCCCAGTACTATCAGAGCTCTCAAAATCTGTGATAACATGCCTTGCATCATCTGGAAGATTTTTGCTCACAACGCTGGCAGGGAGTTGCTAGCAATGTCGACGCGGGGGGGCCTTAACAGCGTTCATCTGCACACACTCCCAGATTTTCAACCTGGCCTGTGCCACTGAGGTGACACACAGGCCAGGTTGAAAATCGGCAAAGTAGAACTTGAACGAACGTGCAGTAATCTCCTTCTCAGTAACACACATTTAGCAAACTCCACTCCACTGCAAACTCCTGTTTCTTTCATAAAACTTTAACTTTCATTGTTGAGTTATTCATGAGTGCATGCAAATGCTAAGGACATGAAACCAAATTTTCATGGTCTTTAAAACACAATAATCATGGTGACGTGATACATCAGCATAGTGTTGTAATGGTGCTATCAGTAGGAAAAATCTGATGCTGAGCTAAAAATGAAAAACTACACATGCTGGTTTACAGAACACCCATTAACACCTTTTATCAAGTGTAAATCCAGCCTAATATATGTAATTACTGAGTAGGAGTCGACCGATAATCAACTGCAACATTTAGCTTTTTAAATTTTTTTTTTATATGATATCCAACTTAAAAATGCGCTACTGTAACTGATGCAACCACCTCTCTGTCTGTCTGTACAGTCTTGCTCAATGTCTCGCCCACAGCACTAATTATTTATACGTCATGAGTCACTGCTTATTAACAGCGAAGGCTGCTGTGTCTCTGATGGGCAAAGATGAACCCAGACTGGAGCCTCTCACTGATAAACTCGAGAATTGTACAGTAACAATAGGATTCATAATCAAAGAAATTTCATCTATTGCCTCACAGCTTCAGTGCAAATTCTTTCCCTGTCCCTCTGTCTCATGAGGGATGCACTACAGAAAAGCGTTATAAGTGCAGTATGGAGGTATTACACTCAACCAACACCAGGGAAGACAGAGTGCGATACATGCAAAGAAGGTGTCAACAGGAGTTTGTGTTATTCTAAACTTTGACACAACGATTTTCATTTTTACTGCAAATGTATAACAGTTTTAAAGTTGTTGGTTTCCTCAAATACTAACAGTCGGTATTGGCCCTGAAAAAAGGGTCTGTTCTGTGTTTACCAAACAACAGCTGATTTCACACACTGCAAAGATCTGTAAAGTCTCGTACTAGAATCGGGGAGTCAGGAGGAGACTCTTCCTGGTCCTCCAGTGGCTCTGTCTGCGTCTCCTCATCTCCTTGCTCCTGGACAGGGCTCGACTCCGAGGCTGGAGGAGTTTCCATCGGCTGCTCCTCTTCTGTGGGACTCTCTTCGCTCTCAGACTGAGCCTCCACAGATTTACTCTCCACAGACGGGCTGCTGGTGTCGTCATCAGTCTGCTCTTCTGGCTCCAGCTCAGTCGGGCTGTCGTCTGCCAGGCCGTCGTCTCCCGGGCTGTCGAGCTGCGCTGCCTTCAGGGCTGCTGACAACACCTGGACTTGAGCTGGAGGAAAATTCACATGAACAGCTTAATGTATATGCTAATATACTGCCGAAACAATACAGGTAATCATAAGTATTATGGCTGTGTGTACATACCTTGTACATCAGGGTCATCAATGTGCGGTTGCAAACAATCCAAGACCTTCTGGATCTGGTCGCTGGTTGCTTTGCCAGGGCTAGACTTGGAATCAGGACACTCAGGTTCCTCCTCCTCATCGTCCTCTTTCTTTTCCTCCTTCTCTATCACGTCCTCTGACTTTTGACAATTTAGCATCTCCAGTTCCCCGCTGATGTCTGGTAAAGGAGATCTCCAGTAGTGGAAAGAGTTAAAGTTCTCATCTGTTTGCTCTGTGTCCTTTGTGTTCTTAGCGTTGTTTGTGGTTGTGGGGCTGGTGTTGCTGTTTGAAACCGCGTTGGTGAAGCTGCTGCACATTTCTCTGGAAACAGAAGTGTGGTTGTCATCGAAGTTGTGTGATTCCTCTGCGTCAGCTGTCGACACGTGCTCTGGGGACGGTGTGGCGCGGCCATCCTGGTTGGGAGGTGTGTGAGCGATGGTTCTTCCTGTGTGGCAGCTGCTGATTTCGGAACAGTTCAGAGAGTTTAGGGAACAGTCGCTGAAATGAGAGTAACAGAATGTATGGGTTTACTTACATGTAACACAGAACAAAGAAGAGAGGGCGTACTCTATCTTGTCATTAATCTCTGTAAATGTTAAAGTCCCTCTACAGACATGTTACATAGAGTGTATAAAAATACTCTTCCATGATTAATATTTTGTTTAATATGGTTTTCCCACTTAAAGAAGTAAAATAAAGACTCTGAAAAAGGGCCAGAAGCAGATCTGCTCTTTCTGCCTCATTCAGAAATTCTGGATCTGGCCTTGTGCCTCACTCAGCACTGCTACAAGTGGTACGTTCACAGGTGAAAGAGCAGTGTGCGTCAAGATGGCAAGTGTTAAAGAAAATATCTGAGAGATTCAGCCATACATGTTTGAGCCTCAGTCTGACCCAGACTCAGATGAGGAGTCATGTTGGCACCAAACTGGCAACGCCAAATCAGTTTAGCCAGATGCTGCAGTGTTTATTTCTGGGTGTCAGACAACATAGCTTCAAGGAGCCGACAGCAAGGATTGCATTATGTGACAGAAGGATATATTCACACTGGGATGTTGGCCGTCATATCCAAATAAGTAACACCAAAAGTGACTTTAGAGCAGCAAGTAACAAACAAAGAAATGTTAGCATTTATCTTCACTTGCTAAAATTAATTCATGTCATCTTAAAAATCTCTTTAACGTGACCACAAAATAAGAAGGAAGCAATTCTGGCTGACACTGGTGATCTGACATTTGGCCAACTCCTCCAGTTAGCTAGTCTTTTGCTAACTTCGCTAACTTAACATTTGACAATACACGTAATGTGTTGAGTGTTGCTTTTACAGGTCCCCCAGTCTTTACACAGATGCAAATTAGTATAATGAGGGTCAGATATTTTGGGGGACATAACATGAGAAAAGCAGGTTTTTGGGTGGAGGGGAACTTTAAGCACCAGCTGCACTACCCAGAGCCACCAGCTAAATTTTCCATCAGCTTCTGAGCTCACCATTGTTGAGTTTTAAACAGAAACAAACCGCAAACCCTAGTTCAGCATTGGTCAAACATACTTAGAGTGTTAACTGAAGCATTTCAGAGTAAATTTCAAACTCTACAAAGTAAAGATGACATGATTTTCTGGGTAAAAAGGAGTGTCAACTTCCTTTCATTTCCTTGTTCCTACAGATAAACCTTTTAACAAAAAGAAAAATCTGGTCTGACCTGATCACACCCACTGAATTATGACCATGATTCATCGGACTTATGATGCAAGGCTTTAACCCGTGTCTGTGCAAACACAAACTTAAATTCATGTAGTGCCACAGTCTATTGTTATAGTACTGCGTGAGCATAAATAATAGGGCTCACTAAATGAAATAACACTATCTCTGTCGAGGTTTGGCCTGCTTTTAAACATCATTCTTTGATGTAAACCAACAGCTGTAAATGAATGTGTTGTTTTTACCTGTCCAATGTACACCTGGGGACCTCTAGTAGGGCGCCGTCCTCTCTGAAGTGAAGGCCTGTGCTGGAGGGATTGGCAAAGGTGGAAATGAAACGCCCCAGAGACTGAAAGGCAGCCTGTCGCACCTGAAAGTGGAGCAGAGAGCAATCGGTCAGTGTCATCATGACGACAGAGATTTATCAGAACTATAAAGCCAATCGTCTTCATCTGCTCGGGATCTTAACTCGTTCATGAAGAGGATTAATTGCATGGGGCGCCATGATTTTAAGGGTCTGAGTCTGGAATAGTACACGAACACTGACAGTGAAACAGCATGCAGATCTGTTTATAGTACAGCAGGTGTCTGCAGTCACAGACAAGATCACACATGTTCATCTGTGCACACGGTCTGCATGTCATACATTTTGGGCTCCACATGGACCCCCATGGACACGGGTGGATGCCAAAATATACATGTCATTTTCCATGTCATGTGGACACACACGGATGCAGAAAGTGCACTGACACCCTTCAAGCTTCAACAAGGCAAGTGTCTGTGGTTTGTTCACGCCTGAAGTAACAGCAGGAAAGTCGAGTGTCTGTTATCTAAACTGCTAAAGACAGTTGAACAGGTGAAGTGAAGGCAATGTCGGTACCAGCTACAAACAGGCTCAATAGTGAACGACATGCCAATGTGCGAATTTTGTGTTTTCAGCTGAACTGGACCAGAGAATATTCGGTTAAAAAAGATCGGTAATGCAGTTTGGCCTTGTTGCTCTCTGTGAAGTTTTCTGAACCTGGTGTGTTTTATGTGGTGTGAGCACTGCAACAGACTCCTTCTAAAAAACAGCCCTCTAAATGGTTCCACTAATAACTTAGGAGGCAATTTGGCTTTATGTGATTAATTTGGCATGCAGTTAACACACCAGTCATAATTTTATTTTAAGAATACCTCAACCCTTGGCATTTGCTCGTGGTGTTATTCACCACTGTTTTGGCAGGAGGAAATAACAGGAGTAACAGGTGAACCAGCTTTAAAAGAGTTATATTTTCTTATTAAATAAGTGCTGTGTAGTGGATTTAATTTATGCCGATGTGGGAAGCGGTTCATGTGGATTGCAGACGGATAAATATTTGGTAAGGTAACTGATAAATCTTTAAAGAAACTTTAAATAAATAAAGTAAATTTAAGATCGGAAATGTGCTAAGTGGTAGCATGGGTGGAAACAACATTACTGCCACCCTTTTGTCTCTATCATATATTTTTCTCTCTGTACAAATTCATTCATTTTCAGAGTACCAGTTTCTTATTTTAACATTTTACTGAACTGTATGAAAAAAGGAACAAGATGTGCACAGTGGGGAGGACAAAAATGTTTCTAGTACAAAGGAAGTTACACATAAATGTTCTTGTCATTTTATGCAATACAAATGTTCCTGTGTGCGTTTGTAAGTACGTGTACGTCTCTTACCCAGCGAGACTGGTCACTGATGAGGCTGATAAACAGGGGGGACAATTTTGCACGTCGCACTTCTGGAGAGGTGGAATTGGAGACCATCATGAAGCACTCGGCGCAGGCTTTCCTGATGCCCCACAGACTGTCTGAGCACAGATCGAAGAACTTGGGCATCTAAAAAATGAAACCGAGTCAGTACAACTTGAAACTCACTTTTAGTGTTTGAACTATGAAGGGATTTATTAACAGCAGGGGTGCAAAGAAACTATGGACTCATTCACGGGAAGCAAAATGCAACACACGGTGAAGTAACAGGGCAGCACTTTAACTACAATGCAGTCACACCTCAGGAAATTCTCAAAGGAAACTAGTGTTACACATGTTACATAATGAAGATGTGAACGGGGTTGTGTGGGTTAAGATTTTTCAGTCAAAGAAAAAGAAGAGCTTCTCACCAGTAGTTTTTCTGTGGCCTCCTGACCCACAATAGAACAAAACTCTCCAAAGTTGGCTGCACAGACCTGGAACAAATTGTACAACCAAACTAATCAACAACAAGTCAGAGTTTAAGTGTTAAATAAATAGTGTATAACATTTCTTTTTAACCACTGATAACAAACTGACTCAAGAGGTTACAGATGGCACCTTAAAAGAGCGCTAGTTAATAGGAATATTAATAATTCTAGTGAAGGGGCAGATAGATAACAGGGGCAGTGTTCGCTGAAGCATTTTTTTCCTGAGGCCACTGTATTTTCTGAATTCCTTGTAATGGGAGCGCCTCATTTTTTCACGGTGTGAAATACGGATTCGTAGTTTTATTGAGAGCAGCTCTGGGCAGCTCGGAAACTTATTTGAGCTTCTGGGATAAAGCAGCAAAAAAACATTAATGAACTTTTTGAAGTTTGGCCTCAGAGAAAAGGGGGATTACACCGTGGCAGAAAAAGAGCTCAAAAAATTATTAATGTTTGGCCACATTTGCAGCTCCTAAATACCCCTCTCCAGCTGGCACCAGTTACACCAGAGAATTAACATTCCTCACAGAAAACAACAGCGTAGTGTCGCTGATGTGCAAAACAGAATTAAGGCTGACTCTCAGTGTTATTGAATTTATCCAATTCGACTCCAGTCACAGCTCTTCCTTGTAGGTTAAAATCGTTAGTACTTTCAGACTGTTAAGAAGTATCTTGACCTTTGAGGTGAAGGAGAAGGTGAAAATGATTTGGAAGTCGTTACCTTGCGAACTTGAAAGAGTCTGGCGTCACTGCACAGGTCGCAGAAGCGTGGCAGCAATAGATGCTCCACTGTGTCTTTGCTCAGCATGGTGACGACTTTACACATGATCTGTAAGAGGAGACGTATGGAGAGCATTTAGTGCCATCACAAGCCGGTCTGTGCTTCAATTGCGTAACTATCCTGCACCGATGAAGGAAAACCAGCTGAATATCTGAACTGAAAGCTTCACGGAAAGCTGAAAAAATGTGCGACTGGGGGAAACAATCAAGGTATTAAGAGTAGAGACGGAAAGAGGTAGCTTGTGTGTGAGTGTGAGTGTGTTTTTCAGGAGGCTGAAACTTGAGAAAACTTGATTTGAATAACGTTAAGTGAGCAAATTAAACTAAATTTAATAGAATGCAAATATTACTCACATCAGCTTTTGAGCTTTTGCATTAACAACTTTTAAAAAACTTTGACAGTTCAATAACACATGACAAATCACAGTTTATACAAGTCAAAAAGAATCGCTGCTGGCATCCATCAAATCAGAGGCCATTTTTTATTTCTGACAGGTGACTGAATCAGATAAAGGTACAGACTGATCGCAGTAAAGCAATAAAAGAAATCCACTGTGTCTCTCTGCGGTTTTGTCCTTGTGGTTTCAGGTACATTTTATTCAAGCACATTTCCCTGATAATAAATCACAGCCTATTTCTTTAATTAAATCTCTTACGCAAACCAAATAAATAGAAGAACAGTTTCTTACAGCGACTGCCTCGATTTTGTAGTCGTCGTCACTGCTGGGTTCTGTGAGCTCAAGCAGAACAGGACAAACTTTGGTCTCCATATCAGCTTTAGAGATAAGGCCCTGCTCCAACAGAACAAGCAGCGCCGCTTGACTGGTCTTCCGCACCTGAACAAGATGAGAGGATGTTAAAAACCTGGACAGTGAACTCCAATTTCCTAAAAGCTGAGATAAAGAGCTCTCAGAAAATGAACACTGAACAAAAAATAGGAGTAGATATTGTTGTTTTAAGTGTAAAAATGAGCTATCTGTCAATTTGAATCCCACCTGGTTATTTGGATCCGTGAGATATCGGACTACAATGGGTACCAAATATCTTGAGAAAGCTGCCGGGAAGTTGGGCCGACTCTCGTGTAAGAACATGGCAATGTTGGGGACCTGCTCCATCAGTTCAGCTCGTACTGTGGGCTCTGAGTACACACATTAATGTATGAGCTTAATGTAAAATCATGAATAATGAATTACAGTGCAACAAGGGATTTGTCCGTGCAACCATGTTAAGATTAAATCCTGAAAGACTTTAACAGAGAGGCAATGTCCCCCTCCCTCCCCGTGGACGTATAGTAGGGAGACAAATCATTTTTTGGTCCTGTTTGAATTGTGCCATGAATAACACACATGATGTCTGCAACTTTAAAAGATCATTTTGCATGTCAAGAAAGTCGCAGTCTGTTGTAAAACTATTTAAGTATGAGACTGTGAAAATATGTAATTAGCAAGACTACACACACAAAAGCAGCATAGGTGATGTCATACCTTGCTGAAGCTGAAGTGTGTTTCGTACTAGGATGATCTCACATGAGCAACATGTCTACCTCTTGTTTCGCATAGCTTCAGCTCTCAACATGGCCAGACTTGTAATGATTTCACCTCTTTTAATATGTAGTCCTCTGTTATGGAAGAACAGAGTGAAGTTGCCAAGGTAACAGCCATGTTGGTGTTGGTGATGTATATTGTGTGAGAGGAGAGATGTAGTTCACTGAGCGGTTTTACACAAAAAAAAAAAAAAAGGCGACTTTCTTGACTTGCAAAATTATGTTTTAAATTGGCAAACATCAAATGTGTAATTCATGGCACAATTCAAACAGGATCACATGATTATTTGTCTCTCACCGTTGAGTGCACCACATTTTTTTTTTCCAAAATAAAGTCTCATGGGGGGACAGTGGAAAGGGAGGGACTTTGCCTCTCTACTGCATTTCATAAAGAGTAAAAAAAAAAGAGGAAGAAACCACAGTCAAAAAAACATTGAATCATCGAGAGACATGACATGGTGAAAAGGAAAAAACATCTACCTCCGTCTTCTGACATTCTGGCAACTGTCTCCATGACACTGATAAAGTCATTTTCATTGTCACTGAACTCTCGAAGCACATCAAGCAGGCCACGAGCCACGATTTGCCTAGAAAGCAACAGGAGCGTCAAGTTAGTAGACTGCCTGCCAATACCTACAAGTGCTGAATGCACACAGCATGACACAGCCCTGACAGAGCTGTCAAGTGCATTACACACACACACACACACACACACACCCATGTACTTAGAGATGACGGGAGGGCCTGAACCCTGCGAAGCTGAGCATGAAAAGCATGAAGACAGGAACTAAACACATTTGTGTGGGGACAACGGAGCACTGTTAAATGTTTGCAGAGGACTTTAATACACTGAGGCCATCTGGCAGGCTTTTACTACCCACTACCTGGAAAGTACCACATCAAAATACACATTATAAATCTCCCAAAATACATAAATAAGCATACACCGAAATTTGTCATCATTCATAGCTTAAAAGCTACAATACAATAGGGCTACTATTGTCAACCTATCGCTATATTTAGACTGACACCATTCACCCATGGCTCAACAGAAGCCTTTTTGCATTCCTGCACTACAAAGTTAAAGCAGGTATTTGATTAGTAAATGCAAAGGAATGCAGATAGCCATACAGATGACTTAAAAAAAACACCTGGCGATGACTTGAGATCGGATGATATGTTAATTTCACATTCAAATTTTCCAACGTGGGGTTTGTGATACAATTTAGGCACTGCTCAATACAATTTATAGAGTGAATATGAAGAACAGAACGTCATATAATAACAATGTATTATTGTGCAACATTGTGCCCAAGCTTGTTTGAGCCATAAAACCTTTCAGCAATAATTTTCTTGCAATGAGTAAACAATCTAACTTTCTTTTTAATTTATGCCATATACATAGCATAATATACAAACCAAAAAGACCAAAAAAATAACCTAATTTGGTGCAAAAGCTAAATTATGGCTGAACAGTTTCCTGGTAGAGTTTGACTCTGTTAAAAAAAAAAAGATGAAGAGGTAATTTGAGTATCTGGCTACATCTTCATCACCACTTTCTGTACAAGAAGTGACATCTCTGAGCCATTTGCCAGATGTTTCCTTGATAAGAAGTTCCACTAGGTTGCAGATGTTTCCTTGTTGCTTGTCGCTAAGGGCAGCATAATGCTCTCAACACAAATCATTAAGATGAAGATGCATCTACACGACTGCAGATGAATTTGAAATCACTGTTCACATGTCAAACAGGGTTCTGCTCACTTTCATTATTTACCACAAGCTTGGCGTCCACACCAAAATGCCAAAAGAAAAAATGTATTCACCCTCTTTCTGGTAGAAAAATTTGGTGGTATTTGCATGGACACGGCCATGGTCAAGAAAGGAGACAGTGGCTGAATCAAAGCTTTAGTTGTAAACGGCTATAAAAATAACTTTTAAGTCGAATTTGCTGATACTGTCACCATATTACATGAGACATGACATGACAGTACATGAGACAGGTAACCTGTAAATAAATCATATTCCTCTGCCTCCTCGTATTGCTTCTAATGGCATTACCGCACATGAACAAAAACAATCAATCAGAGCCGCGGAGTCTCTAACGTAGCTGTCAGTGATGTCAATCTCTGCTCATGAACTGCAGTCAAACTGTCAAACCAAGCAGTGCTGATCAAATATGAATCAAGATTCAGTTACTGCATTGCTTATCTATAATGCAAGTGTTTCCTGGAACAGATTTTACTAGTGCACTGTTTAGCTGTAAAATGACAACATTTGAGACCAGAGCACCTTTTAGGAAAAACAAATGAGCTAAAACAGAGCGTGACCCACATGCCAGGTCACAAACATTTGCATTTTACAGCTAAACAGTACACTAAAATATATTTCTGAAACTTCTGAGGTGATAAATAGGCCATGCAGTAATTGTAATTGCAGTAGTTGATCAGTGGTGTCTAGTTTGCAAGTTTAACTGCAGCTCACAAAGTGACGTGACTGACAGCTGCGTAAGAGGCTCCTCGACGCTCACTGGTTATTTTAGGCTATCATTGGCTGTTTTCGGTGCACCGTGGTAGATTCTAGCAAGTGCCTTTCGAGGTGTAGGAGGGGGGACACCATTTTTCACAGACTATTAGTCTCATACAATACTTCGTGGATGTAGTGACAGTATCTGTGAATATGACAAAAAGTTCTTCTATCTAAGCTTTGTAGAGATACCTCTACTTTCAACCTCAGTTGCAGGCAAGTTTTGTGTCATTTTATCTCCAAAAGCAGGCTACCAACAGCTGGAGAATGCTAATGAAGAGTAATCTGAGTTCTGGTTGATGCTGTAGCAGGTCAAAAACACCTGATGTTTTCTCCCCTACAACACACATCTCTTGTATATACATTGCACTAGTTTTACAGTGCATCACCCCAAAATGAAACCAACCATGAACATCCCACTCTTCGATATTTAGCATTTTGTGTGTTAAGAGTTAACACCCTGACCACAGTGCTCAACTTACCTGTTGAAAACATTTTCACTGAAGGCATACTTCTCTAGCCTCCCCAGAGGAGTCAGGTTGTCTTGCCCTGCATCGAGGAAGGCTGTGATGCGGATGCCGTCGCACTCTGATCCATAGTCATCAAATCCAACTGTGGGATGGAAAGAAAAATCGTTTTACATTCACACAAACTGGAACTGTCTCTGTAGCACACAACTGATGCATACAAAAACAAAACATCTGAATGAGGATGCTGACAGATGCACCGCAGTCGTCACACAGTGCCATGGTGAAGGAAGTGAGTCAGGCTAAATGTAAGGAGCGAGGACCTGCCGATGTGTGAATAAAGCAGAAAACCTCAAGTCTAACTAATTATCCCATTTAATGTTCCAACCATAAACACACACTGGCTTTGCAGCTGGATCCAAACGCTGTTTCATTGCCCTCGCTAATGCAGACAACAGGGAATGTCGGCCTGTATGACGGCTAATAATAGCATGCGTAAAACCTTGAAATACTGATGACAGCTTTATATTTCACATGGGTGACTGGGGTTGCCCTGAAAGGGGACACTTCCATATACCTCCCTGCTAAAGGGAGGGAAAACAAAGTCCCACATGTTTACAATAAACAAAGCCATCGATACAGGTATTGTTCAATGTGGTTTTATTAACAAATTAAAATAATCAAAGTACTCACAATCATCCAGATCGTCATGGCCATCTTCAAAGTATAAAGATAGACCTGCAAGGATAAGGCAGTTAGAGGGAGAATCCATGGTGGTAAACATGTCATCAACATACCATCACTCTATACACCACTCCCACTACAAAATGAAAGGAGTTCTGTGTTGGCAGGTTTTATAGACGGACGATTACCAAGAAGGGACAAAGTCTCCTTCAGTAAGATTGACAATAAATCGCTGTGGTCTCGCTGATAAAACATTTTGCAAAACTGAAAGTACGTCATTGTCAGTGACGTGACGTGTTAGAGGAGGAAACCAAAACAAGTCAGTAAATACAAACGCAATGTTCTTGCTGTATCCTAAATTATGTCTCAGTTACTTTTCTTTTAAACACATGCAGTTCATCTGGTCAATAAGTTATAATCTAGGGGTGTCATGTGCACAAAGTGAATGTGATTACGTGATTATGTTGTTGTATATACACTTTTGTGCAGGTATAAACCCAAGAAAGACCTGTGGGTCCAAATGCTGCTAATAAAAAGTTAAAGAACCTCTGATTTCAGTGCGTGCAAGGTACAAATTAGCACCATCCACAAGCCAAATGCTGGTGAAATATGAAAGTGGCAGATGTGCTTCATTCACGAGCCAAAAATAAATAAATACAATAAAAAATAAATTAATTAAAAAAATGGTAAACTATTGGATGGGTGGTAAAATCTGAACATTTACTAGCGATTTGGCTTGTGGGCAAAAAAGTTAATTTTGCACCCTGACTGTGTCGGTGCTTTTCTATTGTATATCTGTGTTTGACTCTATCTGTGTATGTCTTCATACTTTTTGCAGACATGAGACACATTACCACCTGACTTCACTCCCTGAGGTGCAATTTTTTATTTCATTTTTATACCAAGATTCTTGTGTCCTCAATTGTTTGGCGCTATTGTTGGAGCCATTTGTATTTGGTGAATAGAGTATTTAGTACGCTTATTTTAATTTGAATTTTTTGTTTCACGTTTCCTTTTAAATCTAACAGATGTTAATAATGTAGTTTTTGTAAAGTTGCTTATCTATATCATGCAAATGTGGCATCTCAATTTCCCTGCATGAGATCAATTATGATAAAACTGACTTATCTACTGTAAATTCCTTTAGATCAAACCACAGTCATATTAACTAAACTATTCAGAATCTGTCGGATCATGTAGCCAACTTTACTGCTTAAATGAAAACTACAAATCAGGAACTAAATCAGAATTCACCCAGAATAATTTCTACAGTGTGTGGCTGAAAACTGCACATTAGTTATTCCATTATCATGCAGTCTAGTGTGGTGTTTCTCCTGGATCCCACAGAGCTTTCACTCAGACACTAGGAACAACACACAAGTATAGTATGTGTGTGTTTAAGGTGATTTTAAATACAGCTGATCTTCAGCTGAGTCAAATCACAACCACCTTAACAAAGTAGTTGGTTAGGTCAGAATCAGGACATATTATTTGTTGTACTGCCTGAAGGTAAGTGTAAAACAGTGACTAAATCAGATTTATCCTGGAATAACTTAACACTTGGTTAAAAAAGGTACTTCCAGTTTCTCTTCCCATTATCACACAGTCTTATGTCATAGACACAAACGTGTACAGAGGATAGTTTAACAGACATTTGCGTGATAATGCTATATGTCTTTCCTGATTTGCTTCCAGTAACACACAGCCATGAATGCAGAACAATAACTCAGAGTAATGCAGTCAAGAGAAAAGCCCAGAAAGAAGTCCCAGAAGGAGAAGCATGTGCTGGGACGGCTAATGCCAGTGTTTACAGCTGGGCATGCAGGGGAATGTGCTCCAAATATAAAAACAACTCATATTCCGAAAAGACACATTAAACATGGTGTTTTGCGTATGGAGTACATAACGTTACGACTGGTTTAACAGCACTCCCTAAAACATGTTAGCAAAGAACAACATCTCCCCTTTGTTATGGTATAAAGGAGGATTTGGTCAGCTTATGGCTGAAAATGACTTTAGCAACCCGGCTAACGTTAGCTAGGTCAACTCGCTAGCCTTTGCTATGACAACAGCTCGATAATAAACACGGCTGAAAGCATGTGGTGCTGTCTAACTAATGAAGACAGTGGTGATTTAAAATAACACCTACAAATACTGAGTCGTTGTGTGTTTAAATGTAGCCTCGAAGTCCCACATTTCGACACCCATGAGTAGCTTTCGTTAGCTATAGCTAGCTAGCGGTGCTAAGTTTGCTAACAAGGCTTGTCCAGTCCTCTCGCTTGACTTGGCTCGCCTTGGCTAGCGCTTTGCCTGAGAATACCACAAATGCAGCAAAGCAGGAGCCGCTATTTTAAATATTTAGACTCCGAAGTCCACAATACCGCTTTAGAAGTGCCAACACAGCGCCAAAGTATTAGAGAAAACACTATCTGAGAAGTGCCATTACCTGCCATCTTGAGTATCGGCTCGGCTCTGCGGGCTGCCGTCCCGTGTGGGCTGTCACCACCGCACAGCTGTCACTCAAACAAGGCAGCAAACTACTTCCTGAAGGTACTTCCTGATGCTGGGATCCACCGGTCGGTTATCTTTTATAACAACCCGAACCGGCAACCGTTTCTCAGCTCGGGCACAAACTCGACATAACTGGGCATAAATAACTGTGGGCTTTGTGTGTTTCTCCAAACAAAAAAAGAGCCGGAACAGTCACGTGACCGCACGGCGTAGTTCAAGATGGAGACTGAGCGATTTGGTGGCTTCACGGTTAGCTAGCTAGCTGTTTACAATAATCACAATATGGCAAATACCAAGGACTGCTCGACGATTTAACGCTGATATACGGTGTTATAACTTTACCCGAGAAGCGCGTTTGGCAGCTTGTGACCAAGATGAAGTCAAGTTGTTCGTAAACATACAAACACCTGAAGAATATTCAAGATTTAAAGGCAACCAGAGGAGAAAACTGTCAATGGTCATCATTAAAACTCAATTTGAGTGAGAGGAGATCGATATGGCGCTGAGAGAGTTAAAAGTTTGTCTCCTGGGGGTAAGTCAGCATCGATTTTATGTGAACACGTTATGTCTGTAGTGCTCACTGTACATCTGACTGTACCTGTGGCATCAAATCACCCATACTGCTCCTCCATCAGGATCTATACCTCACTGATAGACAGGTGTGTTTACATGAGTTAAATGTGTTGATACCTGTGATCAGCAGGGAGACAGCACATGCATTTTATTTTATGTCACTGTTAGTGTCTTTACTGCACCTTGATTTCTTAAAACCAGTCACAGGAACAACATCAGTGCATGTCTAAACTGCATACAACACTAAAACCACATATTTTATTTAGCATCCTACTAATACATGCCAGAAGTAAAATCCTCACATGCCCATCTCCCAAGCTTAAAATAGAGCTTAAATAGTTTGATCAAAATTTTTTTAAGCTACAAATACCACCAACATGTTTTGCTTCCAGCTTTTCAAATATGAGGATTTGCAGACTTATAGGCCTGTAGTTTAGGCTGTGTCAGACAAAAACAAGGCATTTGAAGGCATCACCTGGGGCCACTGGGTGTTTTTCAATATTATTGACATTTTATAGACTTAAGAAATACTAATCCTGATCCTTATATAGCTCATTTGGGGTGGCAGCAGCTCAGTCCATAGGGACTTGGGTTGGGAACTGGAGGGTCACCAGCTCAAGTCCCCATCTGTACCAAGTATGGAGTGTGGACTGGTAGCTTGAGAGGTGCCAGTTCGCAGAGGTGCCACTGAGTAATGCACCAAACCCCTAACTGCTCTGATATCTCTCCATTTAATGCATGTATAGGTCCTGTTTGTGTGTGTGTGTATTTTGGGCGTGTGTGTCTATGACAACAGAGGGAAAAATTGAATTTCTCCTCAGGGATTAATACTATTAAAACTTCTTCTTCTTACCTCTTCTTAAATAGCATTACTGGTCTTAAGTATTTCAAAATAAGTCACAGTAGCAACATTTCTGAACCTATAAACAACAGCAGGCATAATTTTCTTTACCAGTATCCCATTATTACATTCCTAAAGGAACCTCCTCACCCCTCCTTCCCATCATCTACTAATAAGATTAGGACTGAGCTGAAAAAAATCGCTCACTTGATCAACAGAAAATAAATCAGCAACAGTATCTGTTAATGGTATTATCAATCATCTTTTGGTTCCAGGCTTCCAGAAAGTGAGGACTTGCTGATATAGATCATCTGGGCTGTTTGTTACCTTGGGCCACTGGGCATTTTTCACTATTACTGACATTTCATAGACAAAATAATAAAAGAAAAAACTTAGAATGAATATGATCCCTAATCCTTATACAGCTTTCTTAAATAACACAACTGATATTTGCTGCCTTTGGTATTTTCAGAGAAGTCCTAGGGACATTAGATAAACAGGCATCATTTTCTTTACCAGCGTCCTATTTATACATCCCTGAAGTAACCTCCTCATATCTCCTCCCCATCAGCTACTAATAAGATTAAAATAGAGCTGTAACAACCTCTCTGGGTCCATGTTCTCCAGTGTGAGGATTTGATTTGCTTTTCACTGTAAAATAAGTATCTTAATGCTTTGGACTGCTTGTCAGACAAAACAAGACATTCGATTTTGTCACTAAGGATTCTTGGAAACTTATGCTGGGTATTGTTCACGTATTTGACATTTTTGGATTAATGGATTCATTGATGATTCAAATGAAAAGATAGATAGGTTAATAGGTGATGAAAATAATCATAAGTTGCAGCCCTATTCCATTTATCACTTTCCTAAATAATATTACTGGTTTTTGCTGCAGTCTCTGTTTGCAAATGAGTAACAGGAACAACATTCATCAGTGTCTCTATTTTGCGTATAACAACAGCATGAGGTTTTATTTTCTCTACCAGTGTCTCATTACACATTCCTGAATTAACATTATCACATGTCATTTTCTTCCTCAACTAATAAGATGTAAAAAACAATGTAGGCTTAACTACGTCTGTCCTGTTTAACTAATACAACGTTACAGGCCTACGAGTGGAGCAGGAAGGAAGAAGATGCCTCGATAAAGCCTGATGTCTGGGAATATTGCCAGAGAATGTGCATTTGTACTCGTGATTAAACTTCTAGTAATTGTTTCCGACCATGTTTATTAAGCATTTTCTTTATTTTGTCTCTGTGCAGGACACTGGCGTTGGAAAGTCAAGTATTGTTTGGAGATTTGTGGAGGACAGCTTTGACCCAAACATCAACCCAACAATTGGGTAAGTTCCTTCCTGTTTTTTTACCAGTTATGTTTGTCCTTGTTTGTCGCCTGTCTCGTCAGTTTGTGTTTAGGGTTGTTGCAGGACATAGTCATTTAATCAGTTCACTTCAATTTATGGAATAATCAGTTCCAATTAGAGCTGGATAAGAGGATTAGAAAATGAATCAGCAACAATTCTGATAATCGGTTGATTGTTTAAATTACTTTTCAGGCAAAAATGCCAAAAGTTTTCTGGCTCCAGCTTCTTACGTGAGGAGCTTTGGGTTTTGGATTGTTAGTCTGACAAAACAAGCAATTTGAATACATAAGTCATGGTGGCCTTCTTTTTTTCATTCTATTCACTATTTTCCAACACTCTAAACATCAAATAATGAATTTATTAAGAAAGCAATTATCATATATTCAGAATGAAAACAATTATTAGTGCAGCCCGAGTTCCAGTTTCAATATTTAATCATTTTATTCCTTTACCAATTAAAAGTACAAAATATTTGCTGGTTCCATCTGTACAAAAAAGTTGCTTGCACCCTGTGTCTGTTTCATGACATCATAAATAAAGTCATTTGTGTTTCTGTGGCTGTTGGACGAATCAAGTAAGCAATTTTAAGACATTGCTTTGTCATCTTGTGACATTTGTCATTGTTTTTGACAATTCTAGCTTATCCCAGATTTAACAGATATTGTTATCAGCCTCAAAAGTACAGTATCAGTTGGACTCTAATTGATAATTAAGTCCCATTTAGTGTTTTACTCTTGGATGTTATTGTTCACTACAGCTGGCAGATGATTTAAGATATCTTAAACCAGCTGATGATCTGAATGAGGATGGGTGTTTTTCTCGCTTAGACCCTTGAAAATGAGTTGTGATGAAACCTTTAAGCTTCAGTTGCAGTTGAATCAAATTAATGTTTTTGTAATGTGACATAGCACATCAATCATGAAGCCATTTCTCTTCCACAGGGCATCCTTCATGACCAAGACAGTGCAATACCAGAATGAGCTGCACAAGTTCCTGATCTGGGATACGGCAGGACAGGAGCGGGTCAGTAACAGACACTGAGGTTTTGGCCTCTGCATTTTTTTTAAATGGAGTGTGAACCTACGTAAGTGTAATACAATCACTTGAGAAAAAGTATCTGTTTTGCTATTGGGTTTTTTCCCCTGTATTAACAATATTTTAATCTCGTAATTCTTGCCTTTATTGAAAGGACAGCTCTAGATAGTCAGGAAAGGTGGAAGAGAGAAGGGGAATGACGTGCAGCTGCAGCAAAGGGTCACAAGTCAGAATCGAACCTGACCTGCTGCAAAGCACTCTATAGTCCATATGGAGCTCACACTCTACCAGGTTAGCTAGACGTTGCCCCATAACCTTTAGCATTCTTGTTTTTCTGAAAACAAGAGCAGATTTTACCCCCATGAAAAGTTTTCTCTGCCATAAAGCTAAACATGAAAATTGCGGACAGGTTAAGTGAAAGTACACACTGTTATGTGGGTTGTATACATGTGGATATGCGGGTGAATATAGATGTCTATGTGTAGGTGTGTTCAACCTGTACATGAGGAATGTACATGGGTGTATACTGCTGCAAGTCAAGATCAAGGACTGAAAGTTCTCTTCAGGCCTGATGCTGCATTCACATGCTCCTCGACAGGTCTCATTTGCCATGATGGGAAGTCGTTCTTCCGACTTTCATGTTCATGAGCTTGAAGTGGAAACCACATCAACACCACAAAGAAGAAGTGTTGCATTTTATTGCCCAGAGCATTTTAACAACACGTTGGGAACAGTTTGAAGCTTTATATTACAAAGTCATTTTGTACCCAGACTTACTGCTGCAACAGTAGATCCCCTAAAACGTCTAAAATATTGCTTTACCTGACTAATGCTAATAAATTAGTTTTCGAACTGATCTAGGTCACTTTATGTGGACAGCAACTAACAGTTACAACCTAATACCATATTAAAAAAATACATAATATTACAAAAATTGACACGCAATATATGAATTAATAAAAAGTTTATCACCATCGGCCTAACTTATGTTTTTTTCTGCCGTGTTTCTGCATGTATGACCTCAACTCGGCAAGTCCTGTACCAAAATTTTCGCAGTTCCAACTTGAGGGGGCGTTCATGTGAATTTTCCCAGTCAGAAAGTCATTTTTCTGAATATTCTGACACCACGAGTGCAGGATGAGTTGTGGCTCTATCTTTTTTCTGTGCACATGCATACGTACATGTATATAAAAAACTGGAAAAGGTTTCATGTAAAAATGGGAAAAGGATTTTGTACACTCTGTGATATTGCCTTTTCCAAATAAAAGTGAAATGGAAAAGAGAAAACTTCTCAGAATTCTGAGATATAATCTTGTTAATTTAAAAAACACGGTGCAGCTATCTCCCCTCCAAGTGAATGCATAATACTGCCGAATAAACCTGTGCAAGATTCATGTGCCTCTGCCCTGCACAGCCAAACCACAGCAGCACACAGTTTTGATTTGTAATCGATCAGTTCGACATGGTTTATTTAAAAAATCCACTCAATTCTCCCATGTGGTTTTTAAAGGAAGTGAGAAAGCTGTCTGCATGTGAGCATGTACCACTCCCTGAACTGTCCTGGGAGAAAGTGCAGTTAGTCATTATTCTGATAGGGGGCAACATTTACCTTCCTATAGGTCGAGCTCTGCCTGCCAACCAATAACCTACTTCTTTCAGTGCTCGTGATTTAGGAGCCCTCTCTTAAATGACACATGCGGTGTCGTGCATTTGGATTTGTGAGTGGCGTCTGTTTGGTTTAATAGAAACATCAGCAAGTCTGAGATGATTTATCGCTTCTGTCAACTTAAATCTTTGTCTCGCCTCTCACGCTCACTCCTTCTTCCTCATTGCATTCGATCATTTAGAGACACAAATAAAGGAGTGATGTTCCTTTTGTGTTATTTTATCGTGCATACAGGATTGAAAAGTGTTGTCTGTCATTAAGTGTCATATTCAGGTGCCATGTCTTGTGTAATTTATACTCCGGTGTCTCTGTTGCAGCAGTATTGGAAATGCTTTATCACCCACGGGAAGTTTAGGGCTGAAACCACTTACAGATGACGTGATATTAGAAACAGGAGACATCTTGGTGTTTAAGTACAATTTTCACATTTAAGCCTGGCGAAATGACACCAGACAGTTTCAGCGCAAGGAACTGCTTTCTCTCTTGACTCACACCCTGCATCCCGCATTTCCCTGCATTAGCTCTTCACATCACTTCCCCCTTTTTCCCTGCATGCCCTTCTCCTTTTCTCATGCGCAATCCCCTGCTGTTGTAATATCTTCTCCCTGCTGCTGTCCTCTCCAGAGTGGTGAGATAAAATGCCGTTTGCCTTTTATCCTCCTTTTTCCCCCTGGGGCCTCGGCTTCTTCGCGGCCTTGAGGGGACATCAATGCAGCCTCGTTTAAGATAAGATGAGAGGATGAAACCCAAGCCGTCTCGGCCCACTGGCGTGTGCTGCCACTGTGTCTTATCTTGGAGTCACTGCAACTCCACGTCCTCTTTTTTTCCTTACTTTGTGTTTCCTCCTGTGGAATCTTTCTTTTCTTGGCAACTATCTATTTTTCTGTGATTCTTTTGTGTTCCTTTCCATTTTCTCCACCTTTTTTATTTCCACTTTTTTCACTCCCATGTGGCTTCTTGGCTTCCCAAGGGGTTCACATCTGTGTGTGAAAAAAGAGAAACATTCCTTCGGTAGGTTTTGCATATGTGTGTGTGTGTGTGTGTGTGTGTATTCATACAAAGCTGCTGTGGTATTTTGAAACCTTTCGTGGCTTGTTTTCTAACTTCTGTGGAGCTTTGGCCGATCACAATCTGTTGAGTTGAGAAAGGGGAACACAAAGCCAGCCAATGCACATGGAAGCAGAGACCGGGGCAAAAAGGAAAGCTCTGTGATTTCCACAATCCATATCTCGAGACCAGATGAGGCCTCACGAGTACATCTGAGCCCAGCTGTCAACAGCTCATCGAGTCCTCCCCCCCGACTGTTCCTCCTCACAGAAAACAAGCGAGGGGAACCTTGCATCCTATTGGAATAGGAGGGTTTCTTTCATTATGCACCCGGCTCGTGGTTTCAGCAATTAATCAGCACTCTCCAGGCATCACTGGGGCTGTTTTCTGGGCTGCTGTGTGGCCAGACGTTTGGCCTCGCTGTGATTGCTCTCTGGGTTACGGCACAGATAGACCACACAGGACTGGTGGTGGTGCAGCCCGACACTAGCCAATGAAATAGACAGCGCTCTCCTCAGTGCCGCTGCCAAATATCCCGAGTTGGATTCCCGTTGGTGGACCTGGGGCCAGTAACAACTATAATTATGTGGAATGTGTGCTTTCCTGAGGTAACAGTGTCACTCCAAGATGGATAGTTTATTCCATCGTATTGTAAAGGAAAATGAAATTGGCGGGAAGGTGGGGTCATTCCAAGTGAAGGTCTTTTTCAGACATGGGTTGTTACTTTTAAAATAAATATCATTAGTTAATACATGACACATGGTCTTATTAGTCTGTTAAAAGACCCGGTCCAGTATATATAGCAAGAAGGCAAAAAGAGGTCAGGAACTGGAGAGGGGAAATAATTCTTTTTTCAATTTTCATATCTGAAGTATTCTGTAAGTTTGTTTTGCTAACAAAGATTTTGTAACAGTTACAACTTCAAAATCTTGCAGAGGCCATTGCAAACATTTTTACAGTATTGAGATCAAAAGCAAATACTCTATGTGTTTCAGCAGAAAAGTAATCTAAACAGTGAGTGAATGGACTCATTCATGTTTTTTCAGCACTGTATCTGTGACTTTTGTAGCTTCCTCTTGGATGCTTGCAGCCTGCGTTGTGGCACTGGTCACTACCTTTTTATAAAAAGTCCTGACCTTACCTGCACACTGTGCCTAGGATCGTCCCCAACTCAGCAAAAGAAAGATGAAGATAAGGAAATAAAGGCAGAGGGCAGATAAATACACCACCACACATTTGTAGTGGGTCATAAGCAAGGATTTAGAGGAATTACTTTTGTATAAATCATTTTTAGGAAAATCCTGCATAGTTTTTTGAAGGTGCCTTTGATTATGTCGAATCAAATCAGTACATTTATTTGTCACACAGATAATCATACACAGTACAATATGCAGTAAAATTCCTTTTATGCCAGCTCCAGAAACAATTAATAAATCAAATATTCTCTATAAATACAATGTTTATCCAATTATCTGTATGTTTTGGAAGAGGCAGAAAAGGAACAGATTTGGTCCAAGCTCTGTCTGAAACATAGACCTTTGTTTTTCCACTTTAATGTGAGTACATCGTAAGAGTCTAAAGCCATGCCATTGGCTCTGTGAAGCAGTACCTGGGCACAGCGGTGCTTTGAGGTAAATGACAAGACAGCTGGACAGTTATTATTTTTCCCAGGTTCGCCATCTGAGTTAAGCATGCCAGCATACTAACATTTGCTAATTAGCACTTAACAGAAAGTACAGCTGAGGCTGATGGGATTGCTTTGCAGGTGTTTGGTGATACAATGTAATCCAAAATATCAGAGAAATTAAGAAACTGACCTGATGATGGTGTAACATAAAAGGTCAGGGGATCACCACCAGGTCAGTGAATGTCATCCTCTGGGCACAGTGACTGTATGTATCAAATTTCTTGGTAATCTATCTGGTAGTCATTTAGATATTTCAGTTTGGACTAGGCTTGGGTGTTATCAAGGGATTGCGGCAGGATATTTAGCAATTTTGAGGGTAATATATTTAATACTATCAAAAGTACAGGTGCTTTTCTGTGTATTAAACTGATACGGAGATGCTGTATTGAGGTAACGCATTGTAATGTACAGCTCACGCCACCAGGGGGCAGTCTTTATTAGTGAAATAGACTGAGCTGAGAAAGATGGCAGCTGCAAGTGGTGGGGATAACGTTACAGGACTAGTAAAAAATTAAAATGCCTAATAGATCTCCTCACTGATCAATTAAATATGACTAGATATGGAATCATGAAAACATTACCACATATAACTTTTTTTCAACTTCAAAAACAGACTATTAGCCAAATGATTTTATTCAAGTGCCACCACCACCTGCACATCGTCTGCATTCAGGCCACTGATCTGTCTGTATCCGCCACAGCAGTGACCATCATTGAGTCTTCCAGCAAGAATCTGTGGAAGAAGGGCGCTTATAGCCTTCATAGTCATTATTCTATGGGTCATGAGTATCAAAACCCAGCAGGACTTATCTAAGTAGGCTAATTGCATGGCACTGTGGGCTAGACAGTGCCATACATACTACAATTACATCTATCACCAGCAGCTCAGCTTTTATGGTTTTTCTGTCATATAACATATATCCTAGTGAAATGTCAGAAAGGTATGAAAAGCCTAGTCTGGACCAAAGTGGTGGACAGACAGACAGACAGACAGGCTGATATGCTTCTATCATGGCTAAAGAATAATATGTTTTAAGATATTATGGCAGCAGGCTAATTGTTGAAGCCGGGCTTCAAAGAGCACTGGAAAGTATTTCACCAGAAAAATACCAAAACCTGGCAAACAAAGAAGAACTCCCCGTTTCTGAGGCAGCTATGGATTCAGACGTGCACATGTTGTTTTGATTATGCAGGGCTTTGTGATGCATTGGGTTGAGATCAAATGTATAGTCTTCCATAAATATCATAACGCTAACAGCTTTTGACACATTCTGCTCATCTTTCTCTTGATGGCTACCACATGTGTGAGGTCTTGGTGGAAAGACTTGCCATACTTCCATTTTAAATAAAGCTGCTTGGCTTATGGGCTCAGAACACTTGGCCTCTGGTTTAGTAAAATGGTACTCTGTGTCTATTTTTTGCTCATTTATATACTCTGTTTCGAGTTTGTCACAGTCAGTATTATTGAGCCTAATGAAACTCACAGTGAAATAATCACCAGAGCCTATGTAACGGATTAGCTGTAGTCTATGAAAAGCCTTGACTCTGTTTCTTGATCTTTGGGGTGTGAACATGTATAATAGTACAGTTATACCACAGTGATATTTTTAGTACTCTTCATATCCAAAAGTGAAAGAAATTGGAAGGAACTCAAGGTAGTCTTCAAAGATGAATCAGGATTGAATAAAATACTCTGATCATCATGTCAACATGGTTTCAAAGCTTTATTCGAATGATATAATCAAGTGTAGGCAGAGATGGTCATTCAGAGGCTTTAGACAGGTGAACCTCCCCCCCAGCACTGCCCCGCAGCAATTCTTCAAAGTATCGATGCTCATCACTGCTTACTTTCTCTGTCTTCCCATAGTTTCGTGCTCTGGCGCCAATGTACTACAGAGGGTCAGCGGCGGCCATCATTGTGTATGACATCACAAAAGAGGTATTATTAACTTTTTCTCCTCAACTGCTAATCCATAAAGTGCTTATGGAGCAGTTTCACGTTTTTGTTTTTGTTTTTTCATGTCATTTCTAAATTTAGAATTTGTATGTGCATTAAAGGAATAGTTCAACATTTTCAGAAATGCTCTTATTCATTTTCTTGCCAAGAGTTGGATAGAGGCGTATCAATGTGTAACCTCCACAGATATGGTCACTTCTGGCTCCAAATAAAAAACAAGATTGCGACAGCTAAAATGGCAGACATGAGGCTTTAAAACAGTGGTCCACAAACCAGTGGGTCACATCTAGCTACGTCCACTTCTTTTACACAGTTTGTGGGCGGGAGCAGCTGGCAGGCAACCAGTAGAGACACCAGGAAGTTACTGAACCCCTGTGAACATGTACGTTTTTAAATAAAGCAGATATAGAGTGTTCATTAGTGAGCTTTAGAAGGTGTAGGGGAATTCGTTACCTTTGGTTCGAGTTAAGCTAGTTTCCATTAATTATGCTAAGCTAAGCTAAGCTAACTGGCTGCTAGCAGGAATGTGTCCATAGCCTGGTTTCCATCAGTCAGTCTGGTTCAATTCACAATGGCTACTTTTGCGTTTCCATTGTCAGAAGTTGTGGATGGTACCAATAGAACCGTTCGTCACCCCTCTGTTGGGGTTCCTAGCACACTGATCAGATACCAAAAGGTGGAGCTAGAAACACTGCAGTCTGCTGATTAGTCAAGAGAGAGCGGTCACTCTCGCTCTACAAAGACTCAATGCACAAACCCGCTGTTTTTAAATATTCCATTGATTGAAACAACAATTGTAAACAGTCTAGCCTGTTCTGTTTTGTCCTGAAAATGCTGGTGAGCAACCTCGTTCTGTGGATGATTAGTGAGGTGCAGATGTTCCTCTGCATTGTCAGTAAAGCAAGAGCTGGACGGAGAAGTGATGCAGCTGTTGCTACCCGGTAACAACCCTGTCTACATTTAAGAGTACTGTTTGCAGTCGAAACACTAAACAGATCTAGGGTTTGGGTACATGTCTATACGGGTTAGGTATCGGTTTTAAGGGTACTATGCCAAAAGTGTTTGGAGGAAACTTACCTTCCCAGTTTCCTGTGCTCCCTAGTTTAATATTCTATTAACAAACATGAACTTTTCTGTTTGGGTCAAATTTGACCAGCTTCACATAAAAATGTGGAGCTGGGTAACATAGGAGCCTGGGAACATAGAAATGACCCAGCTGCTGGCTCCACCTTACCATAAAGACATGAGTGGTATCTATCTTCTAATCTAACTCTCTGCAAGAACATATTTCCAAAATGTTGACCTAGTCCTTTAAACCTTCCTGAGAGATGTTTGTCTGCTTATCGGTTCAGTCAGTATACCATGTTGTGTATCATCAGGAATCCTTCCAAACACTGAAGAACTGGGTGAAGGAGCTACGACAGCACGGTCCTCCCAATATAGTGGTCGCCATCGCTGGAAACAAATGTGACCTGTCAGACGCCAGGTACACCTGAATTACAGATGGTACTTAATATGTCATGAACAATGCTGGTGTGCAGTGTAACGACGCCTTCTCATTTACAGTTTGAGAGTGGTGATGGGATTTCAAATGGCTGGCTCAGATGGAAAAAATTCTTGTAAGGAAATGTTATGACCTTTTTAGCATCAGAATAATATGTGATGTTTGGCTCCAAAATATCATCGGAATTTACTGTGTGTGGAGCTGAAGTGCATTCTGCCCTGCAAGGAGAAATATTGTCTCTCATACTGATCATTATTCTGTGTAAGTCGTCCTTTGTGAAAAATAAGGTGATCAGACTCCAGTGGGAAAGTCGTGGTCATGTATAGTGGACCAAATAATCTTTCATATTTGAATTTTGAGAAGAATTGAAAAATCTCCCAGATTAAGATGCATGTATGCTGTTGGTAATATCATCCATAAATTGGGGAATCTTCCACATAATAGCTGTCAAAGTAAAATTTGATGGTAGGGCATGAAATCGGAGAATCTGTTTGCATATTGCAACATAGCAATTTTGAAATACCTCTTGTATTTACAGGGAGGTGTCAGAGAAGGATGCCAAGGACTACGCTGACTCCATCCATGCCATCTTCGTAGAAACCAGCGCCAAGAATGCCATTAACATCAACGAGGTGTTTATAGAGATAAGTGAGTGTGTTTCTTGAGCACTTGGTGCCATTGTGCATCCCCAGGTTCCCATTGAGCTGTGACAAATTAAGCATTGTGCAGCATTAAGATATTTATCTCGTATCCCTTTGTGTTTCAAAGCAGGTACATTATGTTTTGTGCCTATCAGAGATGCACTTTCTAAACATTTCAAAAGTGTATTCATTCTCTCCGTGTTTGTATCAGACAGCGATGAGCCAGTTCAGAATAAGCAGTAGATAATGCCAAAGCAGAATCCACTTAATCATGACATCCTGACACTTAATTTTGAAAACACACATTTGCAGGGACAAGGGGTTGTGGGAGCAGTTGATTCAGCTCTGAGAGGCAACTGACAAGATAGAGAAAAGACATACTCAATAGTTATGTCCAAATTCTACACTACATGTAAATGCTAAGCAGGTTTTGAGTATGTAGTGTATTCATACAGGTGAAGAGCAATTAAGCATACATATTACTTTTTGCATACATACATACAGTGCAGGACACACATTGAGGGAGAAATTGCTGCTAATAGGCTATTGATTTTATATCAGATGGAATGCCTATTTGTGGTGGTGTTGGATGTTAACTTGCTTTAAATTGCATGGGACTTTATGAAATAGCTAATTCCAATGACACTTGACCTATTCGATCTAATAGATATAATGAATTCATGATAATGGGCTAGTGTTTTAGTTAAAATTGCATTTTAAGAAGAGTAGAAGAGAGAAACAGACCCATAGTCCCTGAGTAGAGGCTAGCCAGCTTTCCATAGGCTATGTACCTGACAAATTTAATGTGCTTTTACTGGATTAAAGTTGTGCTTGTTGTTGCTTCACACAACTTCGTGTAGGCTCTTCTCCTTCAGTATGAGGGTGTAAAACTCTTGGAGACAGCAACTGTGTCTCTACCAACTTTCTACCACGGAGCTTCAGAATGTTAAAAATGACAGCCGCACAGATTCATTTGTTTTAGACTACTTAGCAGTAATGAGAATTAATGAAAATTTCAGGTAGGGCTGCCCTCGACTAAGAATTCTCCTAGTCGACCAATAGTCGTCATTTAAGGTCATTATTCGACTAGTTGCAACAACATGCTCAAAAAAGTGTTTTTACTTTGCATAGTGACCTTTTCTTGAGCCCACTTACTTTTGTAATTTTTTCCAGTGTGAACACACTAAATAGTCACAACTTGCCTAGAATCAATGAGCTGTCGGAAACTTGAAACTCAGTTAAAGTGGAAACAGACAACTTTCTCCCCCCTAGTGTTTCCAAGTGGTATTATTGTTGGCGCTGCTGTCGCAAAGACAACCGGATTGCTTTCCGTTTTCCTCAGAGCCTAGCAACTACCAACAGCACAGTGCAAACTACATGCTGTTTTCCACATTTACTTCAGTTGTTCCACCGTCTACCATTTCCACGACTTGGGATAGCACCACAAAGGACTAAAATTGATACTCTTTGTAACTTGGGATAGCTACCGATAGCTACCAAGGAAAACAAAGTACTTTGCTGTTCCTGTTTTGATTGCCGTAAATCAAGCCTTCATTTTCCTGGGAGTTCGCACCCAGTGGCAGATAGAATTGCACAGTGAAAGCAAGGCTGAATGCAGATGGTGTCATTATTTTATAGCCATTACATTGTGCTGTCAACGTTTATTTCACAATGATAGGTGTAAGCAAAAAGACTTGTCTATTTCCACTTTAATTGGCATGTAGTTCTACCATAAAAAGTGTGTATATTTAAAATAGATATATAAAATCAAAGTTGCACTCAAACGTAGAAGCTTACTCAAGGCTGAATGATGGAAATCTGTATACGTGTGTGTGTGTGTGTGTGTGTGTGTGTGTCTTCAAAGGTAAGCGTATCCCTGTTGCCGACGCAGCCGGAGGAACTTCAGGAAAAGCTTTCAAACTGGGACGTCAGGCCTCAGAGTCTCGCAGAACGTGCTGCTGATGATGCCGGTGACTGCCCCAACCTGACCTGTGACCTGACCTTTGCTTACCCTCTGTGCTCCCGGTCTGCTTCATCTTACAACCACCACACACCCTCAAACACCCAGCCGTCACCAATACCGGGGTGAAGCAGTTCCATTCTGACGACCATGGCAAATGCATTTTTGCGGCACTCAACAACAGCAAATCATCATATATAGTCTGAACATTTCTGTCAGGAGAAATACTACAAGTTTCTGAGCATTGACAAAAAATGTCTGCATTAAAAATATATGTAAGTGAAAGAACCCCATACATATACTGGCTCCTGCTTGCGGTATCATATCCCCAGGTTGATCAGAGGAACTTTACAGCTGCACGAATTCAGAAATCATTTGTACTTGTAAATTTGTACAAATCTACTTTCAACCAAAACATGGACTGAAAATGTTTAATGTCGCCAAATTATTTTGATAGCACTGAAGTTATTGCCTTTTGTTTTAGAGGAGATCTCTTCCCAAACATTCTCCACTTTGTGAAGGATCCATCTATACAGTTAATGTGCGTTGTCAATAATTTATCATAAGAGTTTGATGGAAGAGGTTATGGTAGTCATCAGTGTTTGCACCGATATTTAATATCATTTTTGCATTTTGGAAGGATATTTCAAGAGATGTTGGTGATTCACAGTCAAGCAAGAAGGATCGTGCACACTAAATTTATTGTGTGTTTGTTCTTTTCATCAACACCAAGGGAGTGTGTTGATGATAATTGCAGTCACATGGTGAAAAATGAAGAAATGAAAGGCTTGTGGGAGTCTACTTCCTTTACACTAAAGGAACAGTTTGACATGGGAAATGTGCTTTATTGTGTTCTTGTCTAAGGTCAGAAGAGAACATTGAAACGTGTCGGTACAGTAAATGTTAGGGATGTCAACCGTTAATCAGGTGACCACAGAGCCTATATTTAACCAGTTACATATGTCGGTCCGTAGGTTAACTTTGCTACTCTTCAGTTAACTCCACTGTGCACCACCACCCTGGTCTGGTGGGAGGGAGCTAGCTTGTGGCGCCACACCATGGTGGCAGGATGGAGTTTATGTGAAAACATTGTGCTCACCCTCCAGTCTCCCTCCAGGTTGCCCTGGTGAGTAAGCAGCTTAATTATAAGCCACAAAACTCCTTTAGCATTGTTAAGCACTGTTAGCTCTGTTAGCACCTTTAGCAGCGTCAAAATGGCTAGAGGTGCTAACATCAATGCTAAAGGGGTTTTAAAGCTCAAAATGAAGTCTCTCACTCACTGGGGATACCTGAGGGTGACCAGAAGGTGGCCACCATGTTTCCGCAGCAACACATACCCACCATCATGGGTGGGTGTTGCCAACGGTAATTGCAGAATGAGCAGCAGCGCTAGCTAGCTCTAATCCAGCCCAGGTGGTTTGCAGTGCAGAGCAGCAAAGACAAACATTAGCTAACCAGTGGAGACCGGAAGGTGGGCAGTTAGCACTTATTTAAGCACGTAAATGCAGCTAGCTGGCTGGCTGTCAGCAAAAAAACTGACCACCTCTAAATGGATAGCACTTTGAAATGCAGCGCTAAAACTCAATGAGTCAGTGGAGCACCAGACTAAAGGAAAGCGCCTCTTGTGTGTCTTGTCATGTTGCATTTTTTAACTGATTCGTGACAGATTAATGAGTGTTGGGCTATCAAAAGAAAAATAACCACAACTGACATCCCTAGTAAATATAAAGCTGGAGCTAGCTGCTGGTTAGCGTAGCTTAGCATAAAAACTGGAAATGGTGCAATCAGCTAGCCTAGATCTGTATAAAGGTAACAAAATTCTACCAGTATCTCTAAAGCTCACTGATAAACACTTTGTATCTGTTTGTTTAATCTGTACAAAAACTGAAGTGTAAATACTGGAATAATTTTACAGGGAGTTATGTGGCTGATAATTCTTGGCTCTGATTAGCTGCTGGGCAACTGGCGAAGAATCCAAGAAGTTAATGGTCCCGGCCAAGAAATAGTCTGGCACATAAATCCCTTCGGAATCCAAATGTTGTTTTAACTCTTTGATTTTTGTACAAATTCAACAAACAAGACAGAGCCAGGTGATTATCCCTGTTTCCAGTCTTTATGCTAAGCTAAGCTAAGCTAACCAGCTGCTGGCTGTTGCCTTATATTTAATGTACAGATATAAGAGTGGTATCGTTCTTGTGATCTAACTCTCCCAGAAAGCTAAGAAGCGCATTTCCCAAAAATCCCTACTCCTTTAATTGTGAATTGTGTTGTTATTCTCCCTTCAAGTTTCTTTTATGATAACAGTTCCAGCTGCTCACATGTGCGCCACACTTCCACATTACTGAAAGGTATTAACAGAATCCTGTGTATGAAGTCCACTGTAGTGCACACAGTGTAGTTGTTTCACAATATTGCTTTAGCTTTATTTTTCTCTAATCTCATTTTAACTGACGAGCCCGCCCGTCCTCAGTCCTCTGCTGCTACTTCTCAACAGTTTTACAGAGCAGGCAGATTTCTGTGAGGTCTTGCCAAATTCTATAATCGTCCCATAAACATTTTTCATCTTTCCTTCTTTTCTTTTTTTTGCACATAATCAGCAACGGCGCGCACATGCAATGTTGTTTTAATACCTGGCCTGTGATGAAAACAGTGAGATCTGGAAACTACTACGACCTCTTTCAGAGGAAACTGAGAGGATTTTTGAGCTCAAAACTCCCCTCGGCAGAAGGTTATAGGTGCAGAATCAGACGTGGCGCTGTGTCGACATGCTGACCCCTTAATGAACCTTGGTCTCCATTCTGCTCTGAATTACTGTATGTGTTTTGTTCCAAGGTCTGCCTTCTGATTTTCCTTTCTCCCGACTTCTTTTGCCTCGTTCCTCTAAATTCTGGCAACTTATTTTAGGTCCAGCTTTCATTTTGTTTCAAACAAATGAAGTACACTATACAACCACTTTCACAGAGCTCTATCAGTTCCTCTTACTACTCTGTGATCCATAACACAACAACACAGTAGTTTCATTTACCTCTTACGTTGGCCTAATTGAACATCAGTAGATTCATGAGCCCCCACAGACTCACTAATTCTGTGTAATTTCATGCTTGTCTGTATCTCTTGAGCCCTTTTAGTCCCAAAACCTATTTTCAAAGGTGCCAAAAAGAATACAGATCCTGGCTTAATTAGACTGCATTTCCACGTCTATAAATTTGGATTGTGTGCTCCTCTGACAGCGCATGCCACTTTGTTTGCCTTTAAGCATCTTATACGTTGCTGTGATTGATGAGTTGTGTGCGAAGCAGTGCTGCTTGTTTCTTCAGGATTTTCCTACAGAGTGCAATAGTTGTTACTACTACAAAAGTAAAAATGTGACCTAATCCATGAAGTCAGTTACAGAGTGATAATGTTCACACAGCAGAGCACACACTAATGCAAACAGATGATGGTGACAGGTTTATATTGACCTAATTTTAGGCTGATTTGATGGTAGTTTCACTCATACATGGGTGATCTAAATAAGCCATGTGATAGGGCACACCAGATCACTGTAAAAGACAGTGACAATCTAGGTCGAAATTTAAGGGAAAGTTCATATTTTTTGAAGTGTGGTTGAATGGAGTACTTTTCCATAGTCAAGTGTCTTACATACAGTGGATGTCAGTGGAGTGCAAACAAGGAAGCTAAGCAATGTACTGCTAGGGACGAAGGCAGCAATAAAACGTATTTTAGCCACCTAAGAAAAAGTCCCACCTAAAAAAAAAAAAGCAATATCAGATCATGTGCACGCTATATTTAGAATATTTTCACTGCATTATCTTACTGTCAGACATTTCCAACAGGGAAATTAAGCTGTTATATCATTCTCCTTAAAGCCAGACTCCATTGAGAAAAACAGTGATTTAACATCACTGAACACAGGAGCTGCTGGTCTACTGCTGCCTCCATCAGTTATTTTGTTTGTTTTATTGTGTGACTTTGGTATTTGAAAGGGTTAGTTTGGATTCACCAAAGTCACACAATAACAAAAATTAACTCTGTGATTGAGGCAGCAGTAGACCAGCAACTCCTGTGTTAGGCGAGCTAAAATTACTGTTCTTGTCAATGGAGTCTGGTGGCTTTGACGAGAGCATGGATGGGGGACTGAAGCTAATTATGGCTTCCTTGTTAGAACAGGCTGTCTTCTCAGGTGGCTAAAATACATTTGCTACAGCCCCTCGTCCACAGCAGTTTATTGCTTAGCTTCTGTGTCAGCCTGTTTCTCCAAACTGTGGGCATGCCTGCCGACAGACCACTACTGTATAGCATACTCTGAACATGAATAAGTAACCCCGAGCTATCTCTTTAAACTTGCAACTGATTTTGATTAACTCTGCTGTCTGTGATAATTGGCCCTGCATGGCATTATAACGACAACGCTAACCAGTATTTGATACAGCTTCTGCAGTTATACCAAAAAGGGAATCAGTCTGGTTCTTTGAACGCTGCAAATTGACTCTTAATTGGTCCTTATTACTACAATAACTATCACTCTGTCTGCAGTCTTTGAATATCTCTGTGAAATCACTGAAACATTCTTGTAATGTTATCAGACTTCTAAATGTCCCTTGATGTTATTTTAGGTTTTGACTGTTTGCTCAGCTCTTATCGCTACAAAGAACACAGTGCCAAATAATGTCAACGCCATTTTACCACACCATGCATAACTAACTTTTTTTTTTTATTGTCAGTGTAATATAATGATTTGTGCTGATCACGTAAATGCTTAACGATATTTGAAGTTTGATAATGTTTTTTTTTTCCTTTTGTGAAAACAGGAGGCATGAATAGAGATCGTGTGACAGTTTTGCATTGAAAAATACCATTAAAGAGTCTTAGGCTGGCCCTAGGAATGTGATTAATCTATATTGTGTATATTTTTCAGTGTAAATATATACCATCGAATTGCACATAAATCAATGACTATACTCTATTCTAAGTCAGTCGTGTGACCACAGTAGACACATCGTACACCGTCTGCAGTAATTCCATCAGCATTGTAGTTACCATATTTAGCTTTTTACTACGTTTCATATTGATTGTAACAAAATGCCTGAAAACACTTGTTTGCAGTGTGTTTCCAAATGTGTAAAAAGGGAATTGTCAATTTGTTTACTAATAAAAGGTTGACAAAAATGTATTTTCTCCTGCTGTGTGTGTGCATGAGAGAGAGGAAGAGTCTTCATTTCCTTGTGTTAGACTCAAGAGAGGAGTCTGCATTAACTTAGTCCTTGGGGATTCAGTGACAATGTTGTTAGTGATTGGTTGTGTTGTTCAGCTGGCAGACAGCCGCCTGGCTATATATATAAATATGACACTTGAGATGCGTGTTTGACTGGCAGAGGGCTTTTCACTGCACTTTGAAAAGTGCTGAGAGGGCAGAACACTTATTTGACAACCTCCCAATCCCACGCTAAACCCCGCACTCTTTATAAAGCATGTTTACAAACTATGCGGTGAATGGGAAATATGAAAATGTGCCTGTAAACTATTCCATCTGTAATAATTAAGGCTCATCTTTCCTTGAGGTGTCAACATTATAATTAAACATTACATGGCGCTGTGAGAGTAACATGGGAGCTTGTGTAAACAGAGAGAAATAGAAAAGCGAGCTTGACAGGAGAAAAATAAAGTGATTAATGAAATTAATTAAAGTTATAATGACACACTGGTGTAGTTCCAAATACATGATTTTGCCATTGAGCTGCTTTCTATCCAGGAAAACATGGGAGTTTTTCACAGTGTCTTAATTGATGCCGTTGCCTTACTTTAACCTGTCGAATACAGGCTTAACTAATAACATTATTAATGGCTGCAGTCACTCAGGTGTGCCAGGGTGCTCGCATTGTGCACACTGGCTCATTGATCCACGGTATTGGAATGGAGCCATCATTAATGTCGTTACTTACTTCTGTGTTTGTTCTGCTATAATAACTCAAAATATTTATGGCGAGAGGGTTCATATTGCACCATTAGGGCACATAGCCACGCCATCAAGCCCTTTCCCCCTTTATTGAGATATACAGACAACCACAGAATCTTTGTATGATTTGTATAAAGGTTTTAAACAACAACAACAACAAATAAATCTTAATAGTTTTATGGCCTTTGGATTAATAGAAAAACAAACTGAGTCAATGTCATTCTTGACCTCCTTTGTGACCTGTAAATTTACATTTGTGAATGATTTAATTACATTCAAGCACCATAAATTAGAATATTTTTAGAATTAAAATGTGTTATCCTTCAGGCTGCCTATATGTACATTTTTTAAGACATTTTAAAATGTTAATCAATATGGCTGTTAATAAAATAAGTTATTCCCCTAAAAAAGGTTTCGCAAAATGGCATCTACTTTTTTAATATTTTAAGCCGGGTAAATGTAGGAATAAGAATGAAAGAAACTTAATCTTGTTAGTCATCAGATACTGATTAAGGAGAAGCCAATGCCAAGTTGTTCCCAAAGTGATGCCATTGTGAGATTACATGCAGTATTGTCATAACATAGTCTTAGAAAAGAGCTCGCATGGATTTATTGTTACTGTGGCTATGAGAAGAAAAACAATAGCATGCACTGGAGTAAGAGAGGGAAACAACTGATGAGTAAACCTCACACCATAGGGGATTGTAACAGAAACCATTGCATAATCCCCAGGTGTCACTGGGATGCTGTATTGTAATAAATAAGTTAAGACAGTGCCAGTGGTGGAATAGTGCATGTATTGTCTTGACACAAATAGAGAGAGACTTGACACTGGACAACATTAACATAAATATTACCCAGAAATTATCATTGCATATCTGACAAAAATATCAAAGAATGTAGGAAATTAATTATTTAATTGAATACTTTTTATAGCTTATTAATAGATTTTATAGCTCACTTAGAAAAAAAGCATATCATTTTGGTTTAGAAAGCTACTGACTATTAAAAAAGATATAAAAAAAAAAGTAAATCATGACGTAGTTGGGTTTGTCTTTTCAGGACATGTATAGCAAATGGCACAATTTTTAAATGTGGAACATTATTTTTTTCCTTGTCATTCCTCTTTGAACGCAGGTATTTATTCAAGGCAGCAATCTGTATCACTTGCAAGGGCCCATGCTCTCCTCTGCTCTATCATACAGCCCTGACTACACTCAAGTACTGTACTTCAATACAATTTTCATGTACTTATACTTAAACTTGAGTATTTCCATTTTATGCTACTTTATACTTCCACTCCATTACATTTTATAAGCCAATATTATTTTACTTCACTCCTTATTTTGAAGCTGTCGTTACAACATACTTAGCAGGTTCAGATTATTAATGCAAAATTTAAATGACCTTTTATAAATCATGATGTAATATTATTATAAAGTAGTTGAAATTAGCTCCACTGTTGCAACATCAAAGTACACATTAATTCATCACTAATTATAATTAAGTGATGTAATGATTCTGTAATGAGCAAGTCTGTACAAAAAGTACTCTTACTTTGGGTGCTTTAAGTATATTTTAATACCATTACTTGTGTACTTTTGCTTGTGTACTGGAGAGCTATTTAACAAGGGATCCACTACAGTAAGATGTATTTTGG